GCCTCAGAGGAGCAGAAGTGCTGAGGCCTCCCTCTGAGCATCCACGGGGATCACCCATCCCTCTCCTGTGTGGGCCCAGATTAGCTCACAGCTGAGCATAATTGTGTCTGTCTCTCCTGCAGCCGGAAAGACTCCAGGGGACTCATTATTCAGTGCAGTCGGACATCTGGAGCATGGGGCTCTCTCTGGTTGAGATGGCGGTCGGGAGGTATCCCATCCCTCCTCCAGATGCCAAGGAGCTGGAGCTGATGTTTGGGTGCCAAGTGGAGGGAGATGCGGCTGAGACTCCGCCTAGGCCAAGGACCCCTGGAAGACCCCTCAGCTGTGAGTGGCCTGGTGTGGCCCCAGCTTGGACTGTGGGGGGTCCCTTACTGTTGGGGGTTTCAGGAGGGCTGGTTCTCTGTACACTCTCCCAAGATTGATTCCCTGTCTCTGGATGCCAGGCTGGGGCCAGGGGGGAAGCAGAGCGGGGGTCTTCAGGTGGGTGTAGAAAATTATTACTACTCCCAACAACTTCCTACCATTTGTGGAATCCCAACTATGTTCCCAGCACTGTGCTTAGTACTTTAGATGCATTATCTAATTTTTAAAAATCATGAAATTTTCTTTTTTTAAGGTAGATTATTTTACTGAGATAAAATTCACCTAATATAAAATGCACATTTTCAGTAGTTTTTAGTATATTCCTCCATGTTGTGCAAGCATCACCACCATTAATTCCAAAACATTTCCATCACCCCAAAAAGTAATCCCATCTTCACTAGCAGTCACTCTCAGCCCACCCACCCCCAACCCCTGGCAACCACTAATCTACTTTCTGTCTCCATGCATCTGCCTAGCTTTATCTAATTTTAATAGCAGCCATGTGCGAGCACTATTATAATCTCCATCTTAGATAGGAGGAAACTGAGGCACAGAGCGCTTGACTTGTCAAGGTCACATATACTTGTAAGTGGCCTTGATTTTGATTGATTCCTTGGTGGTGAGCATTGTGCAGTACCACCTGCCTTTCTGAACATGAGTGCTGTGAAGTCAACTGCTACTTGGAAGATCCTGGCCCAGTCATCATCTTCTAATGTAGTTCCTGTCGGGACTTTCCTGTCTGACCCACGAGACCTGGTCTTTACCTACATGAGGCCTACGTGGCAGAGGGAGTGTATGAAGGGAGAAACTGCGGGGGCAGGGATAGCTGACGGCGGTGACTGGAAGGGCTGGTGGCTGTGGTCCCTGGCCTGGGGTTCTGGGGTAGAAAGAAGAAACTCAAGGAAGAAGGAAGAAATCCCAGTTCAGGGAGAATTACAACTAAGTCCTTTATGTTATGTTATTTAGTTATTATCTCATTTGTTCCTCTCTCAATATAAGGGAGGAAGGGCAGACGTAATTATTATTCATCTCTGCTTTACAAAACTCAAAACTAGGCTTAGCAGTCAACTGATTTTCCCAAGGTCACAAACCTCAGATGCGGCAGAGCCCAGATTCATACCCTGGCCACTGACTCTGGCCTTTGGTGGTGGCCTCTGTGTTCAGGCCTTATCTGTAGCTCCTTTTGTTTCTATTTATCATATCGACCTTGTTCTGGTCCCCAGGATCCGTGTCTAACCCCTAGGGTCATACTGGCAAATACCCTCCTGTCTGTTTCTGAGAAGTGTTTTCTTTTCTTTTTTTTTTTATAAAATCTGTAGCTTATGGAATGGACAGCCGACCTCCTATGGCAATTTTTGAGTTACTGGATTACATAGTCAACGAGGTAAGTACTACATGGCTTCCTTGACCTTGGAATTTGCTCCTCTTAGGGAAAAACTCACAGTTGATTTGACTGGGAAACCTGAGTTGTTCCCACCGAATGGGCTGCTTGGGTCCCAGGATCCACATGACTTGGTTTGCACATCACGCTCTTGGAATTGAGTGGCTCGTTTAGAAGCTATAGGAGTCCCTTCCCAGGGAACATCTCCAGGTATCTCTGAGTCCCTCGTCCTCTCTCAGATTCAGGAGCCTCTACCTTGCCCATTGACATTCTCATTCCTTCACTCACCAAGTGTTTCTTGTGCAGTTACTATGTGCTGAGCACTGTGGTGGCAGTAGGAATGAGGTGGGGATCCAAAGATGGAAAAATAAAAGTCCCTGGTCTTGAAGACTATTAGATTGTGAGGAGGAGGAGGCAAGGCAAATATATATGTAACTGCAGTATGGGGTTTTCTCTTGTAAGTGCCATTAAACGGCTGTGAACATAAAGAATGACAATGTAAAAATAGATATGGAAAATATTCACTATAAATTGCTGTCTGAAAAAAGCAGACTACAAAATAGCTATACTACGATCAGTTCTTTAAAAAATTTATGCATATATGTGCATATAAAGTCTAGAAAGTAATATAATACAGTGGTTCTGTCTGAGTGATAGAATTCCAGGTGATTAAAGGTTTCTTTTTGCTTATTGCTCTTGGCTGATTTTAATAAAAAGAACATATTTGTGTAATATATATACTAGTATGTTTAAATGGAAAAAGGCTCAAAGAAGGAAGAGACTGATAAGCTTTCATCAAATTTGGGTTTGCAGGGAGCTGGAAGCTGTGGACTAGCACTAGTTGCTCAGAGGAGGGTGGGGCAGGGCTGGAGGGGCTGGGGGTCAGGACAGGATTTCAGATAGGGCCAGCACTCCCGGCCTCAGGAGCAGCATGGTAGTGAATGAGAAGGGACAAACTCTGGCATGTTTGGGAGGCAGCTGGAAGCCCCCACTTAGCTGGAGTATTGCCCTCTTCTCTTCTTCCTCAAGAGACTAGTGGAATAACTTTTCATACTTTCTTCCTGCTCTCTAAAACCAGACCCCAAAAGGCTCAAAATGGTCCCCTTGTCCATTACAAACATAACAGGGAAAATCCTGGTTCACTGGAGCAGTTAATAAATCACTGTCACTGGTTCAGTCCACTAGGGAGATTAATTTACCTCTTTACTGACTGTCTGCACAGCTTTCTGCTGGCGCCATGGGACAGAGAAAAGTAGTTCAGGATCTGATCTTGGCTGCTTAAGGACTCAAGGAAGGCAGAGGACGTTGCATCTGTGGTAGTCAGGAAAGTCATCCTCCACTGCTGGGCCCTAAGCTGGGTGGGAGCCACATTAAAGGAAGAGATGGCCCGAGGTTAAATACGCAGCTGCCAGTTGCCTAATGTGCCCTGCCACCTTGCATGTTTTTACATTTCCCTGCTCAGTTCTCCAAGCACTGCTCAGGTGGGCCAGGTGAGGAAACTGAGGCTCCAAGATGAAAAGTAGCTCAGGCCCTTCCCACTTAGTGCTCTTGCTTCCTTACCACCTACTCCCAGCCCCGAGACCCCAGCCCCTTCCTCCCAGGAGCCCGGGCTGCATGGTGGCAGGTGTATGCGCCTCACACTCTGTTGGCACGCAGCCCCTCCCTTGCTTGGCCCCCTCCTACTCCGGAGGTCTGGAGCGGACTGCCCTGGAGGCCATGCTGCCTGTCTCTTCCTTGAATGTTCCTTTCATCCCCCTCAGCAGCAAGGACAGTCTGCAGGGTGGGCCTAAGAGCTGGGTTTAGTCTTTGGCCTCAAATCAGGCTTATTCACCTGCTGTTCTGATACAGCACTCAGAGGCCTAAGCTGGCCTTTTTTGGTAGTGTCACTGGTTAATTTTTAGTCTCCAATTACCTGTTGATTTGGGCTACACATTGGAGCAGTGACATCCTGGGTTGTGTCTGGGGGTCAGCTCATAAGGAAGCTGCACACAGCCCCAGCACAGGTCACATGAGAGTGGCTGACGTTTCCTGGGGCTGCATGGAGCACACGAGCTGGGTGCTCCAGGGCCTAGTCCTGTGTAGCCATGTGTAATCTCCACCATGCACCCTGGGAAAACTAGAGCCGTTGCCAGTGTTCCTGCTCCGATGCCCTCAAACGGTCTCATTCCTGGAGTGAGTGTGCAGGTAGCATTCTTCCAGACCCAGCCCTCTGCTGGTTAATGTCTTATTAACCTTTCTCTGCTCCTTCAGGGTTCCAAAAAGGGATATACATTTTATCATTGTTCAGTTAGCTTTCTATGACTTCCGCAGGTGCTGTCTGGGCTGGACTATACCTGGTGGTTTGCATATCCCCCAGCTGTTGCTACTAGTAATTTCTGGATATGTTTCCATGCCACACTCCAAGATTTACAGTTGAAGAGTGTCAGAGCTGGAAAGGATCCCAGAGATTATTATGTCCTCCTCATTTCATGGAAGGGTAAACTGAGGCTGAGAGGAAATCAGTGATTTGTTCAGATGTGTACTAGACAAGTGAGTGGTAGAAGATGGACTTGGCCCCAGCTCTGTGGTGTGTGAGACCAGTGGTTTCACCCAGGTGACCCGGCAGGCAGCCACTGCCTCCGACCTCTGCCTTTCCTTGACTGGATAAGGGCAGCACTACTCAGAGGTGGGGGTTGGGAGGGGAGGCGAGGTGGCTGGAGCAGGAAGCCAGGCATTTATGTCTTGACATTTATTTGCAGCCTCCTCCCAAGCTGCCCAGTGGAGTATTCAGTCTGGAATTTCAGGATTTTGTGAATAAATGGTAAGTCAGCTCCTTGTTTTCTGGAAGAGTACCCTGGTTTTGTCAGGCTTCCCACTCATCTTGGGAAGCACGACTTTGCCCCTTCCCTTCTGTGATCACCCTCGGGCTGCTGCCCTTCTAGAGTGCTAGGAATTGGTGACCTGTCTACAGCAGTGGGTACAGTAGCTGCTGCTTTCAGCACTTGCTCTACAGGGATCGGCATATTGCCTTTCGACCAGCATCTAACCTACTGTGGGCATGGCATCGTGCTGAGAACAAGAAGATGAACAGGGCTTGGGGATTCTTTCTCAGAGCCTGTGGGGTGTAGTGGGGGCGGGGGGGGGGGGGCCGGCAGACATGCAAACTTTGAGTTAGAACCAGCACCAGGCAATAGCTCTCACATTATCTTTCTTCCTTTAAGCTTAATCAAAAACCCTGCAGAGAGAGCAGATTTGAAGCAACTCATGGTAAGTCCACTTATTTCAGACTTGTACACCACCTGTTTATTCATTTGTTCTCCTCCCGTCACACGTCCGTCCAGTACTTCCTGAGCCCATTCCTTGCTCTGACTTGACCACTGCCATGCAGCTGACCCTGGGGCTGCAGGACACCAAATGTCAGTCTCCTCCATCCTCCCATCAATGTAAAGGGAAAGCTGGGATGACCCTGCAGCCCCAGGGAGTCCAGGGAAAGAAAGGGCCATCCCAGCCCTTCATGGGGACAGGGCCCTTTTCTACTGACTGGCTCACCTTACATTCAGGACTCTCCCCAAGCCACTCTCCACTTGCCACATCTTGTTTGGTGGTGGTGTAGGGCAAGGAGCAGGGAAGTAATACTGTGAATTTCTGAGCTTACAAGGTTTGTAAAGCCTTTTTGGTGTAACACCCACTTTCAAGTTCATCAGTTCCTCTGTTCCTTCTACCAGCCCTGGGAGGCACTGCAGGCAGAGCTCCCTGCCCGTTTAATAGCGGGAGAGAGCAGGCTCAGGGAAGTGAGTGGCCCAAGGCCTCGCAGCTGGTGGACCCGGCAGAGCGGGGGTCTTTTGGCCTGCAGCTGGCCCTGCTGTCCTGGTCCCCAGTGCTGCTCAAGGGCAGGCCCCAGGAGCTCCTTCTAAGGGCAGCACAATCTCTGGACCCAGGACTCTTGAATTTTCCTTCTTGGTGGTCTTTGAACACCACTTTCTGTTTCCTCACATGCAGGTTCACGCTTTTATCAAGAGATCTGATGCCGAGGAAGTGGATTTTGCAGGTTGGCTCTGCTCCACCATTGGCCTTAACCAGCCCAGCACACCAACCCACGCGGCTGGCGTCTAAGCGTTTGGGAAGCAGCAAAAAGCGAGCCCCCTGCCGCGTGGTGTGCCATGTTGCTTTCGGGCCTCCTTCCCATGCCTGTCTGTTCACACGTGCATTTCACCTGTGACAAAGGATGAAGAACACAGCATGTGCCAAAATTCTATTTGTGTCATTTTTAATAGTACTGTCTTTATTCTTATTACTATTGTTATTCCCCTAAGTGGATTGGCTTTGTGCTTGGGACTATTTTGTGTATGTTGATGATCAAAACATGCGCAATGTTGAATTACCGTGAAACTGGTGACTGTGGGTAGTCCTTCTTATTGAAAATTGCACTGCTCTTCCCTCCCTGTCACTGGCTGGCTGCCTGTATTTCTGGGGTTCTTTGACACTTGGTGGTACTTCATTCTTGCAGGGCATACCTCCTATTCGAGTAGGAAGGAGCCTTTAAGATCCTTCACAGGCAGTGCATGTGAAGCATGCTTTGCTGCTATGAAAATGAGCATCAGAAAGTGTATATCATGTTATTTTATTATTATTATGTTTTTGCTTTTGGTGTAGAATTCAGCAATTTCCATCAAGATCTAGCCAGAGCCCTTCACTGCCATGATAGCTGGGGCTTCACCAGTCTGCCTACTGTGATGATTTGTAGACTTCTGGTTGTATTTCTATATTTATTTTTAAATATACTGTGTGGGATATTTAGTGGTATATGTCTCTCTAAGTTTGGAGTGGTGTTTCTAAAATGGAGTTACTTTGAATGTTATAGATGGATCAAGGCATAAAATGTATGAGATTTATTTTTCCCCAAATCCAAATACTGATGCTATTGTAAACAACAAACAGTGTGTATAGTGCCTAAAAATTGTATGAAAGTCCTTTTAACCATTTTAATCCAGATGTTTAACAAATCTAATCTCTTATTCTAATAAATATACTATCAAGTTAAACGGACAAAAGATTTCTACTTTCGTAGTAGGATTTTCAATGTCTCCTATATACAAGAAATCGAATTCTTTAGCCAAGCATTCTTATGAGGGGCAACGGGAAGACAAGGAGCAGGCCGGAAGGTGGACATAACACACCGCGTTGGACTAACGGGGCTGCCTGTAATTCCAATCTTTGAACTCTGTCCAGCTCTGCTCACCAAACCCCCTATCTGTGAATCTTCGATCCACCTTCCTGTGAACCTGTGAATATCCCATCTCTTTATAGACGGGACAAGCAGGAGGCAGAGGTGGGGCTGGGGGGGGGGGGAGCAGCACGCCCACAGGAGCGCCTTGCTGGTATAGCCAGCTGTCTACCTGGGACAGTCAGTCCCATGCTGCTTTGCTCCACTGAGCAACGGTTTCCCCTCTTTCACCGGTCACACTTAACTACACGTTCCTGGAGAGAAGGAATGTGCCTAGTGCTGGCTTTGTCATGCCTGTGAGGTGGTAGTGAAGTCACAGAAAACAAAGCCATGTCTCAACTAGCCAATGGTCCCCTTTCTGTGAAAAGTGACTTTTGGAATTTGAGGTACATGTGAGGTTGCCTGGTCAGCACCTCTTCCCTCATTTTCCTTCTTTGAGAGGGCAGGTTATAGAAGCCAAAATAAATGTATATTTAAAAATAAAAAGACCTATTTCGTTTTCAAATTAAAAACAGAAGTTGGGTAAATCTCCTAAGCAGGTAGTTCACTCTGGATCTGCCAAAGCTTAGGATATAGCCAGGATTTTAAAAACTGGTTGCTGCTGCCTCAGCGAGGCGATCATTTTTTCTTGCTGTGAGGCTAACACTTGTTCTAAGTCAACAGTGTAATGTATACTTTTTCAATAAACATTCAGACCGAGGTTTAAGACCCACACCCACTACACACCCCATATGTTTTGCTAACAGAGAGGATGCCATCACTACTGAGAATGTCTCATTAAAATGTGCAAACTGGGGGGCTGGCCTGGTGCCGCAGCAGTTAAGTGCGCACGTTCTGCTTCAGCGGCCCAGGGTTCACTGGTTGGGATCCCGGGTGCGGACATGGCACTGCTTTGCAAGCCATGCTGTGGTAGGCGTCCCACATATAAAGAGGAAGGTGGACACCGATGTTAGCTCAGGGCCAGTCTTCCTCAGCAAAATGAGGAGGATTGGCAGCAGATGTTAGCTCAGGGCTAATCATCTTCTTCAAAAAAAGAAGGCTATTAAAAAAAAAGATGTGGAAACTGCATCTTAAAAGGAAGAAATGATGTAATCTGGAGTCTAAAACCTGGATCTGAACGCTTTCATGCTGTCTTTTGAGGAGTGTTTTAAATTCTCTATTCACATCCTGAAAGTCAAAAGAGTTTTTCCTAGTAATTTTTACTAAGAATGACCTCATTGTCAAGAATGATATTCCCTGCATCAGTCTTGCTGTTTTGAGTTCCCCAAGCCAAATTACTTCCTCAAACTTCTTACTGAGACACCAACAATGGTTGGATTTTTAAATGATACCTCATTAGCACCTCACAACCACCTGTGAAATCGCCAGAGCAGATATGAACACCCTCATTTTACAGCTGGGAAAGTGAGAGTTGCCAAGAGGGGAGAAGGCAAGCCAGTTAGTGGTAGAGCTAGGATTCATAGCCAGTTTTGCTAGCTCAAAAACCCATGCTCAGCTAGTCCTGGGGGCCTAGTGGTTAAGTTTGGCGTGCTCTGCTTCAGTGGCTGGGCTTCGGTTCTTGGGTGCAGACCTATACCACTCAGTGGCCACAGCAGTCAGTGGCCATGCTGTGGTGGTGGCTCACATGTAAAAAGAGGAAGATTGGCAACAGATGTTAGCTCAGGGAGAATCTTCCTCAGCAAAAGCAAAAAGAAAAATGAACAAAAAATACCCCCATGGTCATATTTTAAGTTAGACCCCAAAAATGTACACTTTGATGCTTTTCATTGCAAAACTATTTTCAAATTGTGTTTTCCAAGAAACATCTCATTCAAACTTTCGGCTATTTCCTGTAAGAGGAGCTCAAAATAAGTTTAATGAAATGTTGATTAACAAATCTATCCATGTTCTCTTCTGGAGCAAACCAACGTCTTTCAGAAAATGCTTCTTTATAAGGCATTTTTAAAAACAAGTAAAAGAACTATCAAATTTTCTATTTCTCATCTTTTCCCCATGCCCCTCCCCTGAAATAACTAAGAATTTAGAAATTCCTGTTTCCAAATGGTTACATAAGTTCTATTTGAGGAGGTTCTTTGTGTTTTGTTTGTCTTTTCTGTTGCTAGGGCAGGGCAAGTTACTTTTATAAAATTAAGCAACTAAACTATATATTCAGTGGAAAAGGGACAGTGTGCAGAAATGAATCTCAACTTCAAATACCAAATTTAACTCTTATTCTGTAACTGTCATCCCTTTATTATAAAAATCCAATCTCCCAAGCATAGTGACTCCTTTTTTAATGGCACATTTCCTCTCTAAGTCCAGAAAACCATCCTGGTGTGCTGTTTGCCCCAGAGGAGAAACTGATCCTTTTCTCTGTTGCTATCTGGAAGCCAGGAAGCTGCACGGTGGCTATTTAAGTACATTTTACCACAGTGACGTCTCCACCTAGATATGACGACAGCACACACAGCACACAAAGCAGTCTATAGTAGGCAGTGTGTTGCATTGTCACTGAGAGGTGGCAATAGCTTGTGCTCTCAAGTGGCCCTCTGTCCTCTTTGTCATCTTTCTCTCCTAGATTGTGGCCTTGCTCTGCTCACAAGGGTTCAAAGGCATGCAAACAGCCTTTAACTGATTTTCTTAAAAGAGGCATTGTTGATTGGAAAGACTAGCTTCTATTTAAACTCTGCCCTTTTTGCAAATGCCAGACTTTCTTAATAGCGTTTCAGAGGAAATTTCTGTTTTGAACACAATTAATGAATCTGACGAGAATACAGACACAGCACCACTCATACTGCTCAGTGTTAAGACATTGCATCTTTGCTTTTCTACATGTCACTAATTTTTGTTAAAGCATTCTGAAACCTAAGTTGTTGATGGAACCATTTTTACAACTACACTTCCTCCTAAAGTTCTTGTTTCCTTTTTTTTTTTTTTGAGGAAGATTAGCCCTGAGCTAACATCTGCTGCCAATCCTCCTCATTTTGCTGAGGAAGACTGGCCCTCAGCTAACATCCATGGCCATCTTCCTCTACTTTATATGTGGGACGCCTGCCACAGCATGGCTTGCCAAGCCGTGCCATGTCCACACCCGGGATCCGAACCAGCGAACCCCAGGCTGCCGAAGCGGAACCTGTGCACTTAACTGCTGCACCACCGGGCCGGCCCCTTTGCTTCCTTTTAAAGCAGCTACAGGGCCCATGGCAAGAATTCTTTGAAGAGAGAAAGTACGAAGAGACTTAGAAATTTAATTTGTGTGACTAACCCTGGCTCTTCTTCCCCTTCAGGAATCTGATTCCTCCTCCTCCTCTTCCTCCTCTTCTGGCACGTGGCTCCTTGTGCTCAACTCCAGTGCAGTTTGGTTGATTGACACTTCATTGTCTACATGCACCAACATCTGCTGCAGCCAAGGATATTAGGGATTAGTAGGAAACATACTGGCCTGAAAGTAGCAGATTCTTAAAATTGTTTTAAAATCAAATCTCAGTTGCATATTCATGCTTAGTATTTATCACCAAGAGGTATGGCCACTTTCCTATTTCTCCAAATCCTACCCTGACCTCTCACCCCGCCGCCCCCACCAGAACGAGAGCAGGGTAAATGCCCTAGGTTTGATAGACTGTTACCTGATTTACAAACATGGTTCTTACGAAATAATTATGCTAGTTTAGATGTGCTGCTTCCAAATGGTTTTAAAATGACTTAATACACATCTGGGAGAACTGCTCAAATATAGTATATTTAGAAAGTAGAAGATGATTTTACTGATTTATTGAGAGAATCTGGTAAGAGAAGGATACAATGAGGACTAGAACTCATTTTTCTAGCACTGTGCTTTGTAATTGAAGCTACACTCTATTTCTGAATCTCAACCTTAGTTATTCAGAGCAGCAAAAGTTCTGAAACATCCCTGCAAAGATCTCCAGACCCTCTGGATTCACTGGACGTACAAGAGAGGACGGATGACTAGGACGACAGAGGCAGTATAACAGTACCTGATTACTAAATCAATCAAAGCATAACCAGCGGTAGAAAGGTGGATTGTTCCCTGTCTAAAATAGTAACGTGGAATAGCCAGTTTATTAAACTAGAAAATTCTTATTAGCACTTCCCAGAGTCCTTTAGGCTCAGGAATGTGATTTACAACTTTTGACCCCCAAGCAGCAGGAGAGCACAACGGACTTGGCCTTCTCTCCCTAGGCCCACACTCGATCACGCTTACATCATGGGACTGTTGCGGTGCAGGCTGAGAAGGCGGCATCACATCCCCTCTTCGGGAACTAATCATTGATTGGAGGGCCAATTCTTCAACCTAGAAAAGAAGAGTTAAGGACACTTTCCTTACCATTTCACTGAGATACTGACGTGGGTTAAATTTACTGAGCATGCTGTTCAAGCATGCTTCCACAAGAGGAAGTGAGAACAGTGTACTGTAACCTCTCTGCAGCTCTACAGGGAGGGTGGGGCCCCTAAGCTTACTGGCTTTTTAAGGAAATGAGCAGAGAAAGCCGCCAGCCCCTTTCCCCTGGGGTGTACAGGTGTTCCCGCTGAGGCAAGGCTTCCATTCCCCCAGACCTAGCAGCTCGGGGGAGAAAACACAAGTGTGCCCTTAAAAACGCCAGGCGTCTTCTCATTGCAGAGGGCCGGTTCCCTAGGCCTGAGCTTGTCTGCCCAGTAATGAGAAGGCGAAGGCAGGAGGGACGGAACATGGAAGGGTTTCCAGGAGCCTAAGGAATCCAGGCTTTGGAGGTCACCATCAACACCCAGTTAGGTACCCGGACAGGCACTGTGGTGACGTAGAGCGTAAACGAGTGCACGCCAGCAAGTGTACCGAGGGAAAGCGCGTCATTTTGATCTGTCACAGCTGTACAAGGCTTTGCAGTTCACAGCGGGCTTTCGTGACCCTCTCTCATCTGGACTTAGAGGCCCCGCAGAAAAGTGCAGGGCAGGGATGCTCGGGACCATCGCCCTGCGGCTAAGGGGTGAACGGGCACAGCTCTGGGAATGGCCGCGGGGGCCCCTGTCAGGGCGGTGGTCGGTGACGGCTCCGGGCGGAAAGCTCCTGGGAACTCGCGCGCCACAGCTCCTTCCCTCAGGGCCTCGCCGCCCGCCTGCGCAGCACCGGAGGACCCGCCAGTCCTTCCAGCTTGCGGTACCACAGCTGGGCGGGCGCCACCACGCGCTGGGAGGCAGCGACCAGGCCGCCTGCATTCGGGGCTGGGCTGCGGGGCGCCCCCCCCAGGCGCGCAGCGCCGGCCTCGGCGGAGCCGCAGGGAGGGATTCTGACACGAGCGGGCCGTCATCTCGACACGCTCCCCACGTGCGTGGGCAGCGCCACGACGGCCAGCTGAGGGAGGGACGACGGGCCGCGGGAGCGGCGGGTCACCTTGAGCCGGTTCAGCTGGTCGTGCAGCGCCGCCTTCAACCGGAGCAGCGTCTCCTCCTCCTTGCGGAGCTCCTGAAGCCGGCTCAGCATCTCGCCTCCTCACGCCCGCCGTTCTCCGCCCTCGCGCGGTCCACGCCACCCGGCGCTCGGTGATGACGCCACGGCCTCCGCCGACCGGGAAACGGGGCGAGGGCGTGGCCGGCGGCGCGTCGGGGCGGGGCGGCTTCCTGCTGACGCTCGCGGGAGCTGCACAGCTGCGGCCGAGGTATGTGAGGCACAAACCGTGGTTTTATTTTATTTTATTTAAAATTTAAAGATTGGCACCTGGGCTAACAACTGTTGCCACCTTTTTTTTTTTTTTTGCTTTGTCTCCCCAAACCCCCCCTGTACATAGTTGTATATCTTAGTTGCAGGTCCTTCTAGTTGTGGGATGTGGGATGCCGCCTCAACGTGGCCTTGACGAGCGGCACCATGTCCGCGCCCAGGATCCGAACCCTGGGCCACGGCAGCGGAGCGCGGGAACTTAACCACTCGGCCACGGAGCAGGCCCCCAAACCCGGGTTTTAAACCAAAAACCCGACTCCAGTAACGATCAGGATTCCTAAAGCACAGGATGTTGAGCTGTGAAGCACCAGGAGATAAAATGGCCAAATATCGAGTTCCAAATGCTTCAGTTGAACAGTAGTCGCTGTACCACACTTCCAATGTGCTGTTGCCACAAGGGGCTAATTCCACAAAACCTGCAGAGGCATTTAAAGGCAGGGACAAGAACAAAATCACCAGCACCCGGCACATAGGAACACCACCTCTACTGTTGAGGGTGGCTCCTGTGGGCAAGGATGCCTAGCCAAAGCAGGGTCCCCAGGGCCGGCCTGTGGCCAAGTGGCTGTTCACCTGCTCTGCTTCCCGCCCAGTGCTTCGCTGGCTGGCATCCCGAGTGCGGACATGGCATTGCTCATCAAACTGTGCTGAGGTGGCGTCCCACATAGCAGAGCCAGAGGGACCTATAACTAAAATATACAACTACATACTGGGGGGCTATGGAGAGATTAAAAGATTGGCAACAGATGTTAGCTTAGGTGCCAATCTTTTTTTAAAAAAAAAGTGGTTTCCCAAGAGGCAAAAGCACGAAGACAGCTGTGCTTAGATAACAGCATCCGGAGGTGGTGCCTTCACATAGTAAACAACTGACATCTCCAGGCTGTACTCGTCCTGGCTGTGGATTTTGAAATGGCCAATGGGAAAAAACCCAGATGCAAAACACGACCCCGTGAGACAAAACTAGGGAAATGCAGGCCAGCTGTAAGGCAGGAAGAGACACATTGACAGAGCACATTAAAAACTTTTAGGAAAAACCTAAAGCTCTCTTGGGTACATTTCTCTGCACCATGTTCGGTCAACATATTCATCCCTTAGTAAAACTGTGATATACACAAGTGGTTCCAAAAAACATTCTGGCACTTCGACATGGAGGGTCAGAACAGAAAGCGCACCCAGCGTGCCCGCCAACTGTATTCCATCACAGCAGGTCCTACCCACTTCTCTGAACCATCTACTTCGGACTCTGCCCTCTTGTGGTTACTTAAATGTCCAATCTTTATAGAATGTCACCCATTTTCCAAGGTATGTTAGGGGTGGGGCTAAACTCTAAGAGCATGTATGTATTGCCAATACAACTCTTTTGTTTCTCAAGACACTGTTACAGAACAGATTTTCTATCTGGAATTAGGGAGCATCCCTTTTCCCATTCAACTGCATGGATTTAGTATAAACCCAAGGCTCCAATTCACACCAGACTATGAAATGAACCACCGAAAGGCTGGAATTATGGAGAACCAAGTGCCATTTAACAAATGCTAACCAAGATTCACACGACACACCAACAAGCCATGTTTCTCTCTGTCTCTTTGATCAGGTCTTTATTCAAAAGGAGCTGTCCAAAATGATGTGACCTTTATGAAATAAACAAACAAGTTTACGCAGCAGGCTTCTTTTCTTCTGCAGCGGGTTTCTTTTCTGCAGGCTTCTTCTCAGCTGCTGGCTTCTTAGTAGCTGCAGCCTTTTTTCCCACCAAAGGCTTCTTCTGCTTCTTAACGTCAACAGCCTTCTTTGCTTTCTTCCCTACCACAGGCTTCTTGCCTGGAACCCCCTTCTCATCTGATTTGGCTTCTAGTGCTGCTGCTGCCTTATCCACCCGGAGTTTGTGCTGCAACAAATTAGGAAGAAAATCTAAGAATCAAATCTTTCTAAAAGCTTGGCATACCAGCAAAAATCAATTAATTACTTACATTCTTGGCCTGGCGAAGAATGGTGTTCCTGCGCATGGTCTTCGCATACGGGTTTAGCTTCAACATGATTCTCAGGTTTTTCAGTGGATTCTTCTTCAGGACCCTGCGATGAATCTTCTTGCTACAAAAAGGTAGACACTGTATTAACATTTTATTTATACTATCGACATTTTTGAAATAACGAGCAGTATGAGGTCGGGGCAAGAACTACTGTCAACATCACAACTTTACCGTGGTGCTCGGAGGGCTCTTTGGATCTCTGGGCTCTTCAATATTCGGCTAAGGTCTGTATTGAGCATCTTGTGCATGGGAAGGCTGAGAGGAAAAGAAAATGTTGACAACAGATGTTCACTTCCTGTTCCTCATGTAACTGACTAATGAACACGAACTCAATGGAAGATGTATTCTTAATCATTTAACCATCGACAATTTCTACTATACTATCACTTCTCAGAATATTTCACTATTTCAGCATATCGCATCTGTACATAAGGGGAAATGTTAATCCATTACTTAGAAAACATGCAAACCAATTTTGAACGTAAATACGCACAACATGAACATCTGTATTCAGTATATGAATATGAAGAACACTCACTTGTAGTTACTCTTGAGGGAAGCAGCTTTACGCCAAGTGCCATAAAGATCATCTAACTTGCGGAAAGCGCTTTCAGTCCAAATGCAAAAACGTCCCACGTGCCCACCAGGAGCAAGTTTCAAAATGTTCAGTTTGCTTACATTAAGCAGAGTAATTCCTTTTAAAGGGAAAGGAGAATTAGGCAGCCTGTATTTCAACAGAAGAAACACAAATCAGCTTTAGGCTTATGTGCTACCTAAGGTACCTGAAAACTACCTTATTCATTATGCAGTTTCAACTGTCAATTGTGTACCCATTCAGCCAAGAATCAGAAGTTCCACAAAATCATGTGTTTCAGGAACACGGACCATAGTGTGGAATCTCATCATAATAAAAGCCGAGTAAGCTTGCATTATATGGGCAATTCAAACATGTAAGCAGTAAAAGGATTACCAGGGATGTTTCTGAAGGCCTTGATGATACCATTGTCCTCATTATAGATGATGCAGGGCCCCCTACGCTGGATACGACGTCGGTTTCTCATTTTTCCCTTGCCGGCTCTCATTCGCTGAGAGGCATAGACCTAAAAGTAAAAAGTGAGAACGTTTAGTATTCTGATTAAGATATGATCCCTGCCACTAGATCTTCATAGTTAAAAAAAACAAAAAAAACCCCACTCCATTTTACAGATGATGAAACTGAGGCACAAATGACTCGCCTAACATTAACCCACAGACATAAATGGCAGTCAGGATGCAAACTCAAGTAACAGGGTTCCAGAGTCCTTGCTCTCATTTCCATAAAGGTTTAGCTATACTGTCTCTCACTTATCTTCTGAAACCTAAGAAATTTGTGCGAAGGACTATCAAACTGTCAATGTGTTCATTAAACCTACTTTGGGGGAGGGAAGATCAGCCCTGAGCTAACATCTGTGCTCATCTTCCTCCACTTTATATGTGGGATGCCTACCACAGCATGGCATGCCAAGCGGTGCCATGTCTGCACCCAGGATCTGAGCCAGCGAACCCTGGGCCGCTGAAGCAGAGCGTGTGCACTTAACCGCTGCGGTATCGGGCTGGCCTCTAAACCTACCTTTTTGATATCATTCCAGGCCTTAAGTTTCTTAAGAAGCAAAACAGCCTCCTTGGTCTTCTTGTAGCTTTCAACTTTATCTTCAACCACCAAAGGAAGTTCAGGAACTTCCTCAATCCGATGACCTGACAAAGCCAATCACCACTGACCTGATTACCTCGAACCTTTTGAAAAACTCCAAACATTTTATATAACCCACAAAAGCAAAATGGCATACAATTTACCAAATCAGAATTTCCACAAATATCATGTGTTTCAGAAACACGGACCAATGAAGTGGAATCTCATCATTTTGACAGTTAAATAAAAATAGAGCAGGTGACATGAAGTTTACGTGGAAAAATTTCTAATATACTAATTCACTATTTGAACTGGTTCCCCAGTTACATATATTCACTGATAAGTCATGTGTTAAACTGAAGTAGTCAGAATTATTTAACAAAAGGAAATTTAGTCAGGCACTCTGAAATGAATGGAACTTAATACACACTATTAATATGAATAAAAAGGGTCAGGTTAGGTAAAAAAGGGATATTTTGTACCACTCCTATGACACAAACTATTACAAACCTTTAGACATGACCAACGCTGGTAAGGCTGAGGCAGCCAGGGCAGAGCAGATGGCATATCGCTTCTGTGTTGTGTTCACTCTGCGGTGCCAACGGCGCCAGGTTTTGGTTGGTGCAAACATGCGGCCCCCACGACACATCTATTCTTCCAGTTAAGACTCACATCTCTCAAATTTTAGGAATTACAAAAAGACTGCCTTGCTCAGTAAGAATTTTCGTCACCCTTCTGAACCAGCTTACTGACAGCAGGCAACTGTCGCTGAGAACAGAGTAAGACGCAAATTACGACATCATTGCAAGTAAATTTCAAATCAAGCCCCTAAGGTGTAAAAACATTTATGCCGGAAAATTTCAAATCTGTCTGGAGCAATGTCTAACGTGGACATTAGTATTCTGGACACAAATATTTCCCAGATACTAACATGAAGGAACCAGGTCCAGTCTGCTAAATTCCATGACAGCTGACCAGTCTAGGTAGTGAAATAAAGGATACGTTTCCAAAAGCACCCTGGCCAGAACGGTGAGTACCACCGCCTCGAACTCTGGGAATCCGAGCCACAGCTCTGCCAGTACCCCAAGACTCAGCACTGGTTTGATGACCTGAAATTGGAAAGAAATACAAGTTTTAGCTACCCAGCCACACCAATCTGACTATCATGCATGGTAGCAAACAGCATCAGAACATCCAGGAAAATCACGCGGTTCAGAAACACGGACCAATGGAGTGGAATTTCATCACTGCTGTTAAGCAGCTCTTAAAACAACCCAGGAAAGATCTAGACCCATACCTGCTAATTCGCTGACGGCATAAGGCTGTCTGTTGTTTTTGCGCAAGTTGGTGTGAACAAAGTTGACAATATCTGGCCGAATGGGAGCCTTGAACACAGCAGGCAAAGTGACATTTTTGCCAGAGGACTCCCCCTTTTCGGAGTACACTGATATCAGTGGACGAGCACACGCCTGGGAAAAAGGAAAAGACGATTATGTCAAATGCTCAGTTACAGGAGAGACTAGAGTGTGGTGAGGCAGACAACGCTTAACGCTGAAACACAGGCTGTTACCAACACTTTGTCAGGTCCACCAACTTCAATATTTCTTACACTTGAAGGACACTTGGAACCTCAAGTTCTGCCACATGATTTTCATTATTATTTAAGAGAATGGTTTATCGCTAACTTTCAAAGCAGTTCTTACAAAGTAAAATGATCAAAACCATACCGTAAGTTTTGAACACGCTGCGTAATGTCACCATCTAAATAAACCTTAACCCCAAAGGCCAGCAAATCTTGCCTACCACGGCTGTGCTCCCAACTTCCTCCTCGCCCCCTGCATCCCATTCTGAACATTTCCTGAAACTTCCTAGTATCAACACCGGTCGTGTCACTTTTTGCTCATCCTCCTGGAAGCAGAACTAAACCCCTGAGGATGGCCTACAGTCTGCCCCTCGCCTCCCATACTCTTCCAGATACTCCCTGCCCACGCTCAGGGCCAGCCGCTGCCTACCTCAGAGGCAGCTAAGACACTCTTAGCACGCTGGTCACCTTCTCTCAGGTTTCCCTGATCACCGTTGGGTGCAAGTCCAACCACTGCCTCCTCTCCCACTCCCGACGTCTACAGCACTGACTACCATCCAACATCACCGCGTATTTTTTCCACCTCAACCGCGCGCGGAGCCTCAGGACGCTGTATTTTGTCTCTTCTGTTCACGGAACTCCCCAGGGCACAGACCGCTCCCAGTACATTAGCCATACTATGCGCTCACTGAGACATCGAAGATTTAGGGGACACCAAATGCATTAACTTAACATAAGGAAATCAGAAAGCTTTTCTAGAGGCGATTCTTAGGCTGAACACAGACGAGAATTTGGGGGGTGGGAAGGAAATACAAGTTTCTTTAACAGAAATCTCTCTCAAAAAATGGAAATGTTCCTTACTAAACAGCACATGGAGACAAAGGCCCAAAAATGTACTCTTTCGCCCCGATTCAGCCTTAGGCCCCAAGAGTTCCCAACTCTTTAGAAGAACCCGTGCCTTCTAGGATGCAAGAAAAGCTAAAATTGCCAAGGTCCCCTGCGCCCGAGAACAATCTGGCGTCCCCGCGCGTCGCTCCCAGAGGGGCCCGTGCCGGGACGCCCACGTTGCCGCTAAGATGGCTGCCGCAGAGCCGCACTCCCCAGCTCCCGGCCACAAACAGACGCCTTTGGTCCTCATCTGCTTTCCCTCGCTTTCCCTCCCGAAGATTTTAAGCCCTGTGCCCCCAACCCATTCCTGCCGAGCCCCGACAGCAGGGGAACGTCCAGCCGAGCTGACTTCCACTCACCATGGCAGGGAGAGGAGAAGGCCACGCTCCTCTCAGCCCGGCGGCTCCCACAGGAAAAGGAAGGACGTAGCACTCCCGCTCTATATGTAACCTTCAACTCGGCCCCCACCTTGCCCCGCCTCAGAACCAATATAAAGGCACAAAATATCTCTCTGATGCTCTACAAAAATAAAAAATAGTGTTTTATTTCTTCATATGCGTCCAATTGCGGTGTCTACTGACTTTCAAAGCCAAGAATAGCTCTCAGAAACAAGGGACTCCTTTTCGCGGAATAATCCACAAGGAGGCGTGGCTAACTCTCGCGAGAGGAGGGGTTCTTTTCCTCAACCACTGTAATTTATTTTAACTCTTTCTTACGGGAATGGAAAACTATTGTGACAGGAAAAGCCGCTGTATGCTCTAAAACAAAAGTTTAACTTTGTGGACAAAAGGGGACTGCTAGGAGGTAAAAGTAGTCCCGGCGGGGGGTCATGACCCCGGACGTCACCGCTCGGCGCGCAGTTCGGTTTGGCGGGTTCGGATCTGCAGTGAGACTGGGCCGGGATGTGGTCGCGAACGAACCGAGCTGCTGAGGAGTTTTACGCTCGTCTCCTGCAGTGAGTTGTAGCCCCTGCTGTTGGCCAGGGTGCGAGGACAGCACTTCTCCCTCGGGGTGTCTCGATGGCCGCACCCAGCCTCTTGCCGCAGCCTTGGGGATTAGCGGGCGCTGCTGTTACAGACGAAGTCTGCGGTCCTGGGGTCCGGGAGCCGGGGAGAGGCCAGTTATCCGCTCTGGAGTGGGGTTGGTCCTGTCGGGGCTTGCTTGTAGTCTCGTTTAAGAGAAAACATCTGTACGTTATCGAGGTGGAAGGTGACAGGTTTTCCAAGAGGCGCTTTATTCATTCTGATAATACACACAACTTGCGATGTGTTGGAAGCCCCTCCCAGGGTATGGAAAAGTAGATGTTGGCATCCTTCACCTGTTTAAAGCCTTGCCGGTGTGAAAAGTGTTGTTATTGTCTGCTCAAGATAGTTATCATCTGAACTGAGGCTGTAAGGATGAGGTGACGGTGTGTTGGCTTCTTAAACTACCTTTATTTCACTGTGCTCTTTAGTGAAGTACTGGTACCAAAGGGGGGATTCCATCTAGTTCTGCATCGAATCTACTACTTCTCAAATTTGAGAGTGCATCAGAATTACCTGGAGGTTTGTCAAAAACATAGATGGCTGGGCCCCACCTCCAGCGTTTCTGATTTATTGGGTCTGGGCCGGGCCAAAGAATTTGCTTTTCTGACAAATTCCAGGTGAAACAGATGCTGCTGGCCTGACGCCATGCTTGGAGAACCACTGATGTAATCTAACCCCTTATTTTCTAAATGCCATGATTTTTCATTGTTTCTCTTTCTTGGTTTTCTTCCTGCTTACAAAAGTGATAATGTTGTCAATTTTTTGAATGTTATAGAAAGAGCACTAACTTTTTTTAAACTAACAATGTCTTCGATAGCTTTCAGTATAAGAGCGTATAGATCTATCCCATTGTTTTTAACTGCTGTATAATATTTCATTCTATGGCTGTTTTATGTTTATATAACCAGTCCCCTATTGAGACAACTTTATTTAGATCCTTTATATATCCCAATTATTTCGTGGATGTTAGTCTTTCTCTCCACTTGTAAGCACCAAAATTGTCTTTTACTTCTCTTGAATCTCTCACAATGCCTGTGTGTCCAGCTGCCTACTGGAAATTTACACAAGACCTCAAACTCAGTATCTGCAAAATTGAATTCATTGCCCCCCCACAGCCTGACATTCTACTCCTGAATTCCATCTCTGAGTTGAGTTCCAAATCCAAGACTTTCACTTCCTTCTCTTTTCCACCGTCCCCACCCCCATCCCATCTAGTCACCAGGGGCACCTCTTCTCCCTCCATCCCTACTGTTTTTGTTCAGGCCGTCATCACTTCTCTGAAGTACAAGTGATTCACAGCGATTTTCCTGGCCTCCAAGTTTGTGCTCTCTGCATTGCTGTCAGAGAGATCTTTCCCATTTAAAATCTTTCAGTGAGTTCCTCTTGGCTTTCAGGATAAAGTTCAAGCCCTACAGCAAAATATCTTGCCACGACAGCACCCTGCACTCACCTCTGTTGGAGCACTCATCACCCTGTATTGTAACTGTTGGTTTATTCATTGGACTCTAGTCGAGACTCTGAACCAGGGAATGTGCTTTTGTTTATATCCTGGACATCTAGTAAGAGTGCCTCCCTCTAATACACATGCTTGAGAGACGATTGCTGAATGACTGATTGAATAACATCCCTGAGTTATACATCAAAGACAAACATCTTTAAGAATAAGACACAGTCTTGTCCAAAATGGCAAAAGTGAACTGGTCGTGGGCGTAGCTCTCCTGTTTTTATTTCGGTAAGTCGTAGAGTAGATTCGATAATAAATGGTATCCTGAAACAATTCCACTGGGTTCCTTTAGGACTCGCAAGATTTTTTCTTTCAGAGTGTAGATCAGGGTGCTGTGCATTTTGGTATTTATAGTTTCTGTGTCTTGAGATCACTATTTTAAAACTTTCTTGAATGAAATGATAATTATTAAAGGATATCCAAGAGTTTTGTAACAGCTCATAAAAATAGAGGGAGGATAGATGCTTCTGTTTTAGCTGTAGAAATCGCAGGCTTGGGACCCTTAAATAACTTCCCTGTGGTTATGCACTTATTCAGTGGCAGATCAGAATCTAGTCATTTTTACTTCCCCAAAGTCATGTGGTAAATTACATTTTAATAGTAATCGGTGAATGTGTTTTAAAAGATACAGGAGTAGTGGTAGGTAACCTAATTTCCTGCTTCCTGAGCACTTGTACTCAGTTGTGGGCAGCAATTAAGTGTGGGCAGTTAATCTCTACCAAATCTTTTTTTTTCTCTTTTCTTCTTAACCTAATACTCTTTTTCTGCCTTTTTCCCCCTCTTCCCAGCTATGCCTTAGCGCTGCCATGAGTACTTTACATTTTGCTTTTCCCACTGGTGTCACACACAAAGTGATGACTAAGCCCTGAGTTTAACTGACATTATACTTTAGCTCTATTTTTCACATGTGTTTCTAAATTTCAGGGAATTTGATGAAGAAAAGAAAGGAATCTGTAAAGACCCATTTATCTATGAGGTATGAACAATTTGTTATTTAAACACAACTCAATAATCCTAAAATTGTAAGTTTTTAACGTTGAGATTATACAAGTTAATTTACATAGAGTAAATTTCACCCGTTTAAAGTACAGTTCTATGAATTTTTACAAATGCATTCAGTCATGTAATCATCCCCATAATCAAGATACAGAACATTTAAATCACCTCCAAAATATCTCCTCCTGTCCCTTTGTCGTCATCCCTTTCCTCTGCTCCCAGTCCCTGGCAACCGCTGCTGTGTTTTCTGTCTTCTCTTTTGCCTTTTCCAGAATGTCGTATAAATAAAGTCATACAGTATGTCGCCTTTTGGGTCTGGTTTCTATCAATGAGTATAATGCATTTGAGATTCATCTGTGTTGTGTGTATCAGTATTTCATTCCTTTTTATTGGTGAATGGTATTCCATTGTATGGATGTACTGGTTTGGTCATCCATTGACCAGTTGATGGACACACTTGGAATGTTTCCAGTTTTTGATAGTTATGAGGAAAGCTGCAATAAACATTCATGAATTTATTAAACATCTAATATATGACAAGTGTTCCATAGGTAAACTCCGCATAGAGTTTAATCCATAAAATAATTAGCAAACTACAATAAATTATATACTAAAAGACAAATAAGCTGGGAAAAAATAGTCATAAATGATAAGGGTTAATTTCCATATATGTATAAAATATTTAGAAAATTCCTAAAAATCAATAAGAAAAAAGACAACCATAGTAGAAGAATAGGCAAAGGGCACAAATAAGTAATCACGGAAAGAAAAACACAAATATAGTTCTCTCTCACTATCTGAATTCTTACTAACCAAACTCAGGAATCAAGTATATCCTGGTCAATGTAGTAATCCCTCCTTATCTGAATTCTTGCTGTTTGATACCTGTATTCGTTTCCTAGGGCTGCTGTAACAAAGTGTCACAATTTCGTTTGCTTAAAACATCAGAAATTTATTCTCTCACAGTTCTGGAGACTAGGAGTCTGAAATCAAGGTGTCAGCAGGGCCATGCTCCTATTGAAAGCTCTGGGAAGGGATCCTTCCTTCCCTCCTCCTTGCTTCTGGTGGTTTCCAACAATCCTTGGTGTTTCTTGGCTTGTAGACACGTCACTCCAATATCTGCCTTTGTTAACGCATGCTGTTCTTGCTGTGTGTCTATGTCTTTAAATCTTTCACCCCTTATAAGTACACCAGTCATTGGATTTAGGGCCCCCGTAATACAAGTTAGTCCTCATCTTAACTTGATTACATTTGCGAAGACCCTCTTTCCAAATATGGTCACATTCAGAACAACCAGGAGTTAGGACTTCAACATGTCTTTTGGGAGGATGTAATTCAACCCACAACAGCACTTGAAACCCAGGAACCTAGTAGGTTAGAATAACACAGCATCCTTTACTCTCTGAACTTGATATCTAAATGCTTTAATAGCCAAACTAAGAAATTAAACAGATTCAAATAATGAGAGATATTTGTCAGTAATCATATTAAAGACTGTTATCTTCATTAGTGATCAAATAAATGAAAATTAAAACAATAGGATAGTATTTTTTTGCTATGAAATGATGAAAATAATGAAACTACTCTGTGTTAATGTAAGTGATAGGAATGCAAACATGTGGGTGTGACATATTTGAAAGGCAATTTGACAACATCAGTGTGATTTTAGATATTCCTCTTAAGCAAGTAATTCAAGGATGTCCCTTAGCAATTGTTTATTATAGCAAATAACTCCATACGTCAAACAATATGGAATTAGTTATATGATGGGAGAGCCATGGTACTAGACAGCAAAAGAACATTTAATGGCATGGAAAGAAGTTCATGATATTAAAACTATTAGAATATCCTATTTTTATTAAGCAAAATCCTATCTATGTATCTAATAGATACATTTCTATTTAAATAGATTTATTTATACATATGGGAAAAAATCTGGCAAACTATGTACCAACCAGGCTAATAACAGTAGTGATTAACTTGGCTAGTAGAATTATAGGTGAGTTTAAAAAAATGTCTTAGTGACTGCCCCTGTGGCCTGGTAGTTAAGTGCAGTGTGCTCTGTTTTGGTGGCTCAGATTTGGTTCCCAGTGCGGACCTACATCACTCGTCAGCAGCCATGCTGTGGCAGCATCCCACATACAAAATAGAGGAAGATTGGCACAGATGTCAGCTCAGGGCCAGTCTTCCTCAGCCAAAAAAAAAAACTTTTAGCCATCTATTTTCTAACTTTTCTACAATAAATGTCTATTGCAATTGGAATGAAAAAATATACAGTTGCTATAAATTAATAAATTAAAGTTCTAAATTCCATAGTACAATCAGAAGAAAGGATAATATTTAGTAAAGTGCAAATTTGGTGCATAACAGTAAATACATTATGATTAGAAGAAGAGGATGTCGGTGTGATCGTAATCGAAAGAAGGCTTTACAAGGCAGGGTGCACTTTAGGTGGGTCTTGAAGCATGTGTAGATAAAGATATAAGAGCTAGATTTTCTAAACATGAAAAACAACATGGGCAAAGAATAAATGAAATCTTATTTTTAAAATATTGTTTTGTTCAAACTTCACATGATTTCACTCATATGAGGAAGATAAACTAACACACGGGCAAAGAGAACAGAGTAGTGGTTACCAGAGGGAAGGGGGTTGGGGGGTGGGCATGAGTGGTAAAGGGGCGCATATATATGGTGACTGACAATGTACAACTGAAATTTCACGGTTATAAACTATTATGACCTCAGTAAAATTAAATATACATATATGCTGTTTTGTTCAAATTCTCTTTTCCAGTTACTTGCACAGAACTGGGCTTTGTGTGTTTGAATATTTGTACAAATATATATGTGTGTATATATATAACATAGCTTGGCATTATGTTTTTAATAGACTGATATCCAAGTGCAGTTGATCAGCAAAGGCCAACCAAACCCTTTGAAAAATATTCTAAATGAAAATGATGTCATATTCATTATGGAAAAAGTGGTAAGTGCTTGGGCTTTGTGGTTGTTGAATTCTTAATAGCCAAATTTGGTTTCTTGGGAATAATCTCAGATGTACACTTTCTTTTTATCAGCATGTTAGTGAAGGTGGATTCTCATTTTTTAGGAATAGACACACTGCTGTCCAATAGAAATAAAATGTGAACCACATATATAATTTAAAATTTTCTAGTAGCCTCATTAAAAAAAAAAGTGAAATTAATTATCATACAGTAAAATTGATTTTTTTTCTTTTGTTGTCCAGCTCTGTGAATTTTAACACATATAGAATCTGGTAATCACCACCACAATCAGGTCACAAAACAATTCCATCACCCCAAAAACCTCCTTTGCTCTATCCCTTTAAAATCATACCCTTCCCCAACCCCTACCCTCTGGCAACCACTGATCTCTCCTCCCTCACTGTAGTGTTGTCTTTTTAAGAATGTTATGAATGGAATCATACAGTGTGGACTGCATCTGGCTTCTTTCATTCAGTGTAATGCCTTTGCCATTCATCCAAGTTGTGTGTGTATCAGTGGTTCATTTCTTTTCATTGCTGTGTAGTATCCATGGTATAGCTATACCACAGTTTAAGTACCCATTCACCCTTGACATTTGGGTTGTTTTCAGTCTTCAGTGATCATGAATAGAGCTATTATAATCATTTTTTTAGAGATATTTGTGTGGGCATAAATTTTCTTTTCTTTACAGTAAATACCCAGGAGTGGGATTTGCTGGGTCTGAAATTGAGTTTAATAATTCTTTGTATTTAATCTAATATTATCATTTCAATACCTAATTAATATAAAAATCATTATTGAGATATTTTAAATTCTTTTTTCCATACCACATCTTCAAAATCTAGTGTGTATTTCACACTTCGTCTCACTTTGGTCTAGCCACATTTCAAATACTCTATAGCCACGTGTGGCTAGTGGCTGTTATATTGAATAGCACAACCTGAGTAACTGTGACTCATGAAGATCTACTTTAATTTTTGTTTGTTAAATGTAAGAAGAGGGAACTTAGTTTTCACATCACTTTATAATTACAACCTTAAGCCTTTGTGGGTTTTTGTTGTTGTCTGTTTTGTGTGTGAGGAAGGTTCACCCTGAGCTAACATCCATTGCCAATCATCCTCTTTTTTCGCTTGAGGAAGGTTAGCCCTGAGCTGACATCTGTGCCAGTCTTCCTCTGCTTTGTATGTGGGAGGCCTCCACAGCATGGCTGATGAGTGGAGTAGATCCGCACCTGGGATGAGAACCCGTGAACCCCAGGCCACCATAGCTAAGCTCGGAACTTTAACCACTTAGCCACGGGGCTGGCCCCCACTGTGTCTTTTAATTGTGGTAACTGTTTTGGCAGAGCAATTATAATGATTTTCATTGAGTGCTGATAATGCTCTCACATTACACGGTTGATTTGGGGCTGGAACCCATTCCTCTGGTCACATTGTTTCCTGAAGTAGATAGAAATAGGCTGTAATAGGGGAAAGTGGGCGTTCCTTTAGAAAGAACAGCTCTGTCTGCTCAGACTCTCATGCTGTCTGGGTGGGCACTGAGATGAGTGAGCAGGGCGCTCTTCAGTGTAAATACATGCACGAAAACTCCTTTCTGAGGAGAGAGCTACTTTTTTGTCTTTTATGTTAATGAAAGGGTGTTAATACTGCTTGTCTATGGTGGACAGATGCTTGGAAAATAGTTATAGGTGAATTATGTGGTTGAATTTAGACTTTTGATATGGGGAGAAGGAGAAAGGTACATAGAGCAACAGCTGAAAAAACTAAGATGGTCAGATGAAGGTGAGTTTCCTAGGAAAAGGTAAAGATGAGCAGAGGGATTCGTGGGCATCTGGGTGAGGATACTAGTGCGAATGCAGCTTGCAGTTGGGAGGAGTCACCTGGAAGTCACTGAGGCCCTGGCATTTGGGGATGGGAAACGCTTAAAATGGCCTTTATTCCTGCAAAGATCAGTAGAGCTTAAAGCATGAGTTTTAGACATAGATATTGAAAAGTAGTACATAGAAAAAATGACGTTTCTTGGGTACCTCTGGTTCTGGGAACTATTTGGAAAGCCAGGCCTGGAAGGGAATGAAATCTGGGAACTAGCAAAAGAAATTCAAAGTTAAGGAAACATCTCGATCTGATACCTATTCCGTGGGCAGAATATTTACTGCCACAAGAGCTTAAAGGATAAGAACTTGAGTTTTGAAGGTAGAATACCTAGGTTCAAATGTTGGCTCTGCCACTCAGCAGCTCTGTTATTCTAGGCAATTTATTTAGCCATTTGCTACCTCAGTTTTCCCATCTATAGAGCAGGGTTAATAATGGCATCCATATCAGGGTTTTTATGAAGAACAAAGGAAAACTTAGAACAGAAGCTAGTACATAGTGATGCTCAGGAAATGTTAACTCTTACAATTGTTGTTATTATTGTTATTGCCAGTAATGGCAAGGCTGAGCTATTTAACTACGTAAACAAATAGACATCAGAAACACGTAGATATCAGTACCCTGTAACACCAGTGAGAACGGATAGCTCTCAGAGGATTAGACTTAAGGACTAAGAGCTGTTTGGGGAGTGAAAAATCTGACAAAATTGGAGACTCTGCCATGGGTTTCCCTCGGTATTTTGTCTTCAGCTCATCATTTTGTACATGATGGAGCACTTCCTTTTCTAATGGCATCAGATGCTTCCTTTATCAGTATCAACTTAGATCAATATCTTTATAGGACAGTGGAAATGCTTCTAATGGCAAAATCTCTTGGTACCAAACTGGTGTGTAGCTATGATTCTTGCTGTAACCCAATTATTTGTGCTTGAGGGTTTAGAAATTGTTGCAGGATGTTGCAGCATAGTGAAGAGTTGACTTGTCTTAAGTGTTCTTTTACCTGGTTAAATAAGAAGAAACATTTTTAAAGCCTTTAGAAAAGGAAGAAGCAAGTCTTGTGGAAGAGCTACAACCTGAAGACACTGCTATTTCTGATTTCTCTACTGGTGACAATGTTGGACCCCTCGCTTTACCAGTTGGGAGAGCAAGGTAAGTATTTTCTTCATGTCGGGGTAGGAGTAGAGGTGGAGGGTAGGATTTAAATGGAAGCATCCTTATAAACATTGGGGGAAGAAATGTATCTGGCCCAGATCCCTCCCCGACTCCTTCCTTCTCTCCCTTGATATGTATACCCAACTCTCCAGGGAGCACCCTCCTGGAATATCCCATAGGAATCCCAGACATGGCCTAGAAGACTGCATCATCTTCCCTTTCTCCACGCCCTTGTGCCCTTTATTGTTGTTGCTTCTTAATTGTTTTCCTTGTGTCTAGTCTGGTTCCCCCCCAATCTTTGTTTCTCGCTGCTGTCAGAGTGATCTTTATAAAAAGAGAGCCTGATTGTGTTGCTTCTCTGCTTAAAAATCCTTCAGCGTTTCTCATTGCCTTGTGATCAGTGAGGTAAAATGCAAATTCCTTACGAACCTTCATTGTGTGGTCCGGTGGTCTTCCACGGGGAGTGCCATACCCAGCGGGCATTTGGAAATATGTGGGGGTACTTTCTGGTTGTCACAGTGACTGAGGGAAGCTATTGGCCAGGGCTGTGGATGGTAAACATCCTACGATGCATAAGGCTCTCCTGCACGAGGAATTATCCCACCCAGACGCCAGTCGTGCCCCTGTTGGAAACTCTGCTGTGTCTCTCTGTCCTGCCAGCATCACTTCCTGCCTCCACCACCTCCCCCCGCCCCCGTGTGGCCATATGCAGTTCCCCCTGCCCGCTTCCCTCACCTCCAAAACCAAAAAGTCTTTGCCATCAAGTTCTGGAGAATATAGTCATGTAAATAATAACATTAGAGAATAATGAGTATAACAACAGTGTTCACAAAGTGACTTTCCTTCTTGGTGGTTTTTGTTTCTTTTGCTTTGTTGAAGCTTTTAAAATTTTTATGTAGTTAGTTCTTTCCTAGCTTCTTCGTTTTAAGTCATATTTGGCCTTTTTCTTTTCTCCCTCACACCTTAAACATTGTTTGTTTGTGTGCTTTTCTCCAGTCAGCATCTGTGTGGGGTTTATCCACGTGCTTATTGTTTCTTTGCTCTCCAGTTCTTCTTGCTTTTCAGACCTGCCTTCTGGGATCATTGTATTTCCTTTTTGAAGTACAATCCCTTAGAAATTCCTTGCCTGAACATCTGTTGGTAATAAATTCAGTTTTCATCTCTTTGAAAAAAATTTTTAGGCCACATTTTTGGGTACCTTTTTTTTTTTCTTCTGTTACTTTTTGTTTATTTGAGTTCATAATAGTTTACATCATTGTGTAATTTCAGTTGTACATTATTTCTTGTCTGTCACCACATAAGTACTCCCCTTCACCCCCTGTGCCCACCCCCAACCCCCTTCCCCTGGTAATCACTGAACTGTTTTCTTTGTCCATGTGCTTGTTTATTTTCCACATATGAGTGAAATCATCTGGTGTTTGTCTTCCTCAGTCTGGCTTATTTTTCTTAGCCTAATTCCCTCCAGATCCATCCATGTTGTTGTAAATAGGATGCTTTTGTCTTTTTTATGGCTGAGTAGTATTCCATTGCGTATATATATACACACCACATCATCTTTATCCAATCATCAGTCGATGGGCACTTCAGTTGTTTCCATGTCTTGGCTATTGTGAATAGTGCTGCAATGAACATAGGGGTAAATATGTTACTTTGGCTTATTGATTTCAAGTTGTTTTGGTAGATACACAGTAGTGGGATAGCTGGGTCGTATGGTAGTTCTATTTTTAGTTTTTTGAGGAATCTGCATACCGTTTTCCATAGTGGCTGCACCAGTTTTCATTCCCACCAGCAGTGTATGAGGGTTCCCTTCTCTCCACACCCTCTCCAACATTTGTTATTTTTAGTCTTAGTGATTAACCATTTTAACTGGCATAAGGTGGTATGCTAGTGTAGTTTCAATTTGCATTTCCCTGGTGATTAGTGATGTTGAACATCTTTTCATGTGTTTATTGGCCATGTCTATATCTTCTTTGGAAAATTGTCTGTTCATATCGTCTACCCATTTTTTGATTGGGCTGTTTGTTTTTTTGTTGTTCAGTTGTGTGAGTTCCTTATATATTGTGGAGATTAATGCCTTATCGGATATATGATTTGCAAATATTTTCTCCCAATTGATGGGTTATCTCTTTGTTTTGATCCTAGTTTCTTTTGCTTTGCAGAAGCTCTTTAGTCTGATGAACTCCCTCTTGTTTATTTTTTCTTTTGTTTCTGTTGTCTGAGAAGACATGGTATTTGAAAAGATCCTTTTAAGTTTGATGTCAGAGGGTGTACTACCTATATTATCTTCCAGGAATTTTATAGTTTCAGGACTTATCTTCAAGTCTTTGATCCATTTTTAGTTTATTTTTGTGTATGGTGTGAGATAATGGTCTGCTTTCATTCTTTTGCATGTGGCTGTCCAGTTTCCCCAGTGCTACTGAAGAGACTGTCTTTTCTCTGTTGTATGTTCTCGGCACCTTTGTGGAAGATTAGTTGTCCGTAGATTTGTGGTTTTATTTCTAGGCTTTCAGTTCTGTTCCGTTGATCTGTGTGTCTGTTTTTGTACCAGTACATGTTGTTTTGATCACCAAGGCTTTGTAGTACATTTTGAAGTCAGGGATTGTGATGCCTTTGGGTAACTTTTAATTTTGATACCCTTTCAAATTTACAGAAAAGTTAAAAGAATAGTATAGGAACTTCTCTATACCCTTGACCCAGATTCACCCATTACGTATTTACGTTTTGCTGCATTTGCTTTGTCCTTCTCTCTCTTATTCTTCCTCTTCTACTCCTCCTCCACACCCCCATCTATATAAATACACATATCACACACATTTAAAAAAAATTTTATTGCGGTCTTAATAGTTTATAGTATTGTGAAATTTCAGTTGTACATTATTATTTGTCAGTCACCATATAAATGTGCCCCTTTACCCCATATGCCCACCCCCCAACCCCCTTCCCCTCTGGTAACAACTGATTTGTTGTCTTTGTCCATGTGTTATTTATCTTCCACATATGAATGAAATCATACAGTATTTGTCTTTCTCTGTCTGGCTTATTTCGCTTAACATAATACCCTCAAGGTCCATCCATGTTGTTGCGAGTGGGACAATTTTGTCTTTTTTTATGGCTAAGTAGCATTCCATTGTGTGTGTATATATATATATATACGCACCACATTTTCTTTATCCGTTCAGTCGACGGGCACTTGGGTTGCTTCCACATCTTGGCTATTGTGAAAATGCTGCAATGAACGTAGGGGTGCATAAGTCTCTTTTGAATTGTTGATGTCAAGTTCTTTGGATAAATACCTAGTAGTGGGATGGCTGGGTCGTATGGTATTTCTATTTGTAATTTTTTGAGAAATGTCCATACTGTTTTCTGTAGTGGCTGTACCAGTTTGCACTCCCACCAGCAGTATATGAGGGTTCCCTTTTATCCATATCCTCTCCAACATTTGTTTTTTTTCGTCTTGGTAATTATATGCCATAAAATTATGCCATTCTAATGGGTGTAAGGTGATATCTAAGTGTAGTTTTGATTTGCATTTCCTTGATGATTAGTGACGTTGAACATCTTTTCATGTGCCTGTTGGCCATCTGTATATCTTCTTTGGAAAAATGTCTGTTCAGATCCTCTGCCCATTTTACGATCAGGTTCTTTGGTTTTTCTTGTTGAGTTCACACACTTTTTAAATGAAATATTGACAGTATGTTGGAGATGTTGTGTTCCTTTACCCCTAAATACTTCGCTATGTATTTCCTAAGAAAAAGTACATTCTCTTACATAACCACAGAACAATGATCAAAATCTGGAAATTTAACATTGCTACAATACTATTACCTAATTCACTGTCTATATTCAAATTTCCTTAAGCATTCCAGGGATTAATGACCTCAAGCATCTTTTCGTGGGTGTATTGGCTCCTACTTTCTTCCCTCCTCCACCCCCAGCCAGTTTTATTGAGATATAATTGACATATCGTACTTATTTCTTTTGCTTCATCTCACAGCCTACTTCCACTTCCACTGAACATCTTCCCCACCGTATTGAACTCCCTACTTGTAGCAGCTATAATCCTGTCACACTTGGTCACTTTCTGGTGTGTGTATCTTGATCTGCCTGTTGTACCCTTCTCCGACTTCTTAACTAGGTGAAATATTTATGTGTTTTGCCACTTAATTTCCAGATTTTTGTTTCTGGGATACTGTGATATTGTGATTTATAATAAGAAACATGTATTTGGTCTTCATCCACTGTTCTTGGCACAGAGTTCCTAAAACTCTTGGAATTTCCTAGGTGATGAGAATGATGAAGGTGTCTTTTGTTAATGAGATGACTTTTGGAAAGCCCCTAAGTAACCTAAAGATGGGGGCTGGTTGCCAGGGGAACCAACTGTGTGATTTGGAGGGTTAGAACTTTTTGTCCTACCGCCATCTCTGGAAAGGGAGAGGGGCTGGAGATTGAGTTCAGTCACCAAAGGCCAGTTCTTTAATCAATCATGGTTATGTAATGAGGCCTCCACAAAAATGCAAAAGGCAAGGGTTTGGAGAGGTTCCGGGTTGGGGAGCATGTGGAGATGCAGGGAGAGTGGCATGCCAGGACAGGGCGTGGAACCTCCGTGCCCTTTTGCCATACCTTGCCCTGTGCAGCCCTTCCACCTGCCTGTTCCTGAGTTATATCCTTTTATAATAAGCCGGTAATCTAGTAAGTACAGTGTTTCTCTGAGTTCTGTGAGCTGCTCTAGCAAATTAATTGAACCCAAGGAAGGGGGTTGTTGGAACCTCTAATCTTTGGCTGGTTGATCAAAAGCAAGGAGGCAACCTGGACTTGCAGTGTCATCTGAAGTTGGATGGGAAGAGAGGCAGCCTTGAAGGACTGAGCCGTTAGCCCATGGGAGCTGACGCTGTCTCCGGGTAGATAGTGTCAGGATTGAGTTGAAATGTAGGACACCCAACTGGTGTTGGAGAATTGTTTGGTGTGAGGGAAACCCCCACACATTGGACTTGTGTGCAGAATCTTGGTGATCAGAAGAGTCAGAATCGTAGGTACCCTTCATGATATCTTTGGAAAAGAAACCTGTTGACTGATTGACAATCTGTACTTATAATTTATTCTTCCTACTCTTGTTTTCAAGGCAGTTAATTGGACTGTACACTATGGCTCACAATCCTAATATGACCCATTTGAAGATTAATCGGCCGGTTACTGCCCTCCCTCCCCTCTGGGTAAGGTGTGACGGTTCAGATCCTGAAGGTACCTGTTGGCTGGGAGCTGAGCTTATCACAACAAATAACAGCGTTACAGGAGTTGTCTTATATATGGCCACTTGTAAAGGTGAGTGCTTCTCTTCTTACTTTTATGGGGATGTGGATGTGTGTGTATTTATTTATTTGTATAGTTGTTGTTTTGTGGTTTTTACTGAAAATTGATACTGTTAAAAGGGAAGTGCCCACGAAGGAGCTTGTTAGCCACCATGAATCTGCTGGAGTGTGTAACCGCGTCGTATAGGAGATAGAACATGTAACCTGTCGTATAGGAGATAGTCCGGGAACGCGGGAAACAGATCTCCACGCGTCTGCATAGGAGTTTATACCTGTTTTGTTTGGGTTTCATTTGATTTATATGTGTGGATTTTTGGAAATTTTCATTGGAGAATAAAAAATTGAATGTAATGACGACATAATTCCGGTCTCGTAGTAGGCATTTAATTATACTTTTGCTAGTAGTATTGACATTTGTTCCACTTTCATTCTGTTATAAAGATTTCATTCATTTGTGATTTAAAATTTTATTTTAACAGTTATTAGGGTTAAGTTGTGGTACCCTCAGAATTTGAGGGATTATAATTTTCTAGCTCTAGCAATGTAATTTTGAATTAAACGTTTACATTTTTTTCTTTGTTTCATCTCCTATAGCAGATAAAAATTATTCTGTAAATCTTGAAGACTTAAAAAATTCACACAAGAAAAGACATCACTTGTCCACTGTAAGTACTTCTCTTCTACTCATATTATTTTCTTCAAGCTGTTATCAACCTGCCTTCCTGGTTTAAAGGTTTTTTCACTCCTAATGTGACTAGATATTTTTCTGTAGTATCAACATGTTTGTATTTATTTTCATATAAGCTAGTGACTGAAAATATCTGCCTTCTTGCCTTTTAGCTAATCTTTGGGATTAAAGATAATTGTCTTATTTTTCTATTTGAGATGAAAGTGTGGCTCTTTTTCTTCTTGGGGGAGAAGGATCGAAGTCGTTTTGGTAACGGGCCTTTGACGTGTGAGAGCATATCTAACTGCTCTGCTGGGTGTACCCTTTAGGTAACAGCCAGGGGCTTTGCCCAGTATGAGCTCTTTAAGTCCACTGCCTTGGACGATACAGTCACCGCGTCACAGACTGTGATCACTTTGGATATTTCCTGGAGTCCCGTGGATGAGATTCTTCAAATCCCCCCACTCTCTTCAACCGCAACTCTGGTAGGAGCAGAGCCTGCTTCCTGTTGAGTTAATGAGGCCCCTAAATGTGGGTTTAATTTTCACACAATTGTTGCTAGTGCTGCGTGCTTCTGGCCCCAGGCAGACAACTCTGAAAAGCTCGGCTGGCCCCTAAAGTCTCACCAGGGCAGCCAGTGGCGGTGTTGCCAGGCTATCTGATCCATCAGTTGCCCATAGTGTTGCAATTATGTGCCTTAAGAATTTTGCAGTGATTAATAAAGTCTCTCAAATGGGGACTCAAATGGAGTCATCAAAGTGACTTATCTCAGCTATTCTTAAAAGAGTGCAGAGGGCCGGCCCAGCGGTGCAGCAGTTAAGTGTGCACATTCCGCTTCGGCAGCCTGGGGTTCGCTGGTTCAGATCCCGGGTGTGGACATGGCGCCACTTGGCAAGTCATGCTGTGGCAGGCATCCCACTAATAAAGTAAAGGAAGACAGGCACGGATCTTAGCTCAGGGCCGGTCTTCCTCAGCAAAAAGAGGAGGATTGGTGGCAGATGTTAGCTCAGGGCTAATCTTCCTCAAGAAAAAAAAAAAGAGTGCAGCTATTGGCAACACATCAAGAATCATTATATTAGTAAGCCTTTTCACCCTATATTTACATTTCTAGAAATCTGTCTTAAATTAGAATGGCTAAGGAAAATACATGTACAAAGATATTCAATGCAGTGATACAGCTGTGTTTCCAAAATATTAAAAACAAAACCTGAATGTTCAATAGGGAAATGATTAAAATAGATTTCCCTGATGAGATATACATTCTTTAAAAATCATAATTTAAAGTCTCTTTAAAAATAATAGGAAATGCTTATTATTAAGCAAACAAAAGGAAAAACTACAAAATTGTATATATCATAGGATCTCTACTATGTTTTTAAAAAATATATACACAGAAGCCTGGCTAGTCTTAATAGTGGTTCCCTCAGAGTGGCTGGATTATGGATAATTATATTCTTTTTTTTTTTTAAAGGTTGGCACCTGAGCTAACAACTATTGCCAATCTTCTTTTTTTTTTCTTTCTGCTTTTTCTCCCCAAATCCCCGCAGTACATAGTTGTATATTTTAGTTGTGGGTCCTTCTAGTCATATGACATGTGGGATGCCACCTCAGTGTGGCCTGACGAGTGGTGCCATGTCCTTCCCCAGGATCCAGACCAGCGAAACCCTGGGCCGCTGAAGTGGAGCGTGCCATGAGGCCAGCCCCCAGATAATTATATTCTTAATGTTTTTCTTTTTCTGCAATATGAATTTATATACAATGACATTTACCCCTTTTTTTGTCTTTTCTTTCATCACCCCCCTTTTTTTAAGATCTTAGATATTAAAACCTTGACCTCTGACTAAGACACACATTGTTGCTTTAGTTAGAAGGCGTCTAATGAATGTATTTATTAGAGGGGTTTTATTTTTGGGGTGTGGTAATGCTAAATTTCTCGTTGAGCCTTAGATGTATCTATTTATATTTCTCCCACTTGTCCTCTTGGAAATTCAGTCAAACAGAGCATGTGAGGAGAGCATTGTTGCATGTAGGTACAGTGTGGTGTAGAGAGAGGATGTGATGGCCTGAACTGAGGTTACTCTGTGGGGATGGGCAGTATTTATGGTATCTGGGTACGATGTGCTAAATCAAGTATGGCCCCTCTTTTTCAATTCATTCGTGCTTTATGAAATATATTTTTTAGTGAGTGGGTACTTTGAAATGCAACTAACTGTGACCTTATGCCCAGAGGATGTGATTACCAGTGAAAACTGACTTTGGGAACTTTTTAGAATATTAAGGTGGAATCAGGAGAACCCAGAGGTCCTTTGAGTCACCTTCACAGAGAACTGAAATTTCTCCTTGTGAGTATCCTTCTGGAATTTGTGACTTGCATTCAATCTCATGTTTTCATAAAAATGTTTGCTCATATTATTGTTATTTAGTGTTGCATTCTTCAAAATTTGTTCTGAATGTTGTGTATTCATTAGATACTTATGGCAATTTGGGCAGTTTAATTTTACTACGTGGTAGTTGTCCTTTCAGTTACAGGGAGCGTGAGTTAGATAGTTAAAATTACAGCTCTTCTGTCTTTTCTATTGGAGTATTTGGGTTTTGTTCATATGACAGGGTGGGTCAGCTTCCAGTTTATTCCAAATGCGTATATAGGCTTCTTGTTAGTAACTGGGATTTTGATTGATGCTAAAGATTATTGAGCATGTGTTTCAAGAATTTTATGTTTCGGTAATTTTAGCTGCACTCTACAAATTGAATCTCAGGGATGCCTTGTTTTAATGCAGTAGAAATTCCAAATGTCTTAGCCTGGCGTACAAAGCCAGCTATATCCAGTCATTGCCCTACTTATTTCTTTTTTCTTTTCTTTTTTAACAGCTTTACTGAGATATAAATTATATCCCATAAAATTCAGTCATTTAGGTGTACAGTTCACTGGTTTTTAGTATACTTACAGAGTTGTACAACCATGACCATATTTAATTTTGGAGCATTTTCATCACCCCATAAAGAAGCCACTACCCATTAGCTGTCACCTCGGACCCCTCCAGCCCCTGGCAACCACTAATCTACTTTCTCTAGATTACTTTGTTCCTTTTTATTGCCAAATAGCATTCCATTGTCTAGATACACCACATTTTGTTTATCCATTCGTCAGCTGATGGACATTCCAGTTGTTTCGACGTTGGGCTATTAGGAATAATGCTGCCGTGAACAGTCGTGTACAAGTTTTTGTGTGACATATGTTTTCACATCTCTTGGCTGGAGTTGCTGGGTCATATGGTAACCCTATGTTTCACCTTTTGAGGCACTGCCAAATTGTAACTGTTTTCCAAAGCGGCTGTACCACTTTACGTTCCTACCAGACGTGTATGAGGGGTCCAGGTGTTCTATATCTAAGCCAGTGTTTGATATTGTCTCTCTTTTTAAACTATAGCCATCCTGGTGGGGATGAAGTGGTATCTCATTCTAGTTTTGATTTGCATTTCCCTGATGGCTAATGATATCGAGCATCTTTTCATGTTCTTATTGGCTCCTACTTATTTCTTTAGCTTAATCTTACACCCTACTTCCACTCACACTGAACCCCCAGCCCTCACCGTCTTGAGTTCCTGCTTATAGTAGCTCCGATCCTGTCACACTTTGTCACTTTCTGATGTGTGTGTCTTGATCTGCCTAGTGTACCCTTCTCCCACCCCTTTGCCGGGTGAGCTCTTGGTGACGTCTTCGCCTAGGATGCTTGCACTGATCCCTGAGGACGGCTTATGCTGCCTGTGCCTTGTGCTCCTGTAGAACTCTGCACACACCTCTTGTCAGAGTGTTTATCAAACACAGTCATTTGTTTACTTCTCTGTCTCCCCTACGAGACTTGAGTGCCGGGTGCCCCGTGGTGCCTTCAGCATCTAGCACAGTACCAAGCATTTTAATTCTTTTCCCTGCTGTTATTATTTCCCTGTTTGTACAAAACTTGGTGCTTTTTCTCCCTTTCTCACCTTTCTTCTTTCTTGAAAGCTCCTCTTTCAGGACCCTTCCTGTGGGCTTCTATCATACAACCCTCGTGTCTCTGCCCCTCTCTCTCCACCCTGGCAGAGAGCCTGGCCATTCAGTGATTTGACTAAGGCCTTTATGAGGGAACTCCAGACTCCCATCTTTCAACTGATCCCAGTTCCTACTTTTCCCCCTTCCACCTAATTATTTTCCACTTTCATAGAGTGCTATGACCCCAAACTCGGTATGTCCAAAATGAAACTTGAAATCTTCTCCAGGTTAGATCCCCTTAGAAAATCCCCCATTGCTGTCTGTGGTTCCACCATTCCTCCAATTTCCTGGGCTAGAAACTTTATATTTTACTTTAGTAAGAATTATATCTATCATCACCACTAATTGCCACAGCTAGAAGCTGCCACTCTGTGTGCCAAGCACATGGTTCTGGATTGTTCCCTTATTTTCCTGAGGTGTTGGCAACTGGTAAGTGGAAGGGCTGGTTCAAAACTCATTCAAATCCATGTCTGTCTGTGTGACTTGGAAGTCCATGCTTTGTTATAATCTCCCTTATAAACCACAGAATCTTAGATCTGCACATGGCCATACTCTCTCCAGATTCAATCCTTTGTATTTTTATAAATGAGTAGGCATTTTTATTTTATTCTACGTATTCTCTCTCTTGAATAAACTGTTCTTTTGTTCCTCTTAGCTTTCTCTCGCTGTTCCCGTCTTGGTTAAAGCCCTGATCACCTCCCTCCTGGACCACTCTAATGATCCTTCATTGTTTCTCAACAGGGACGCTATCAGCATTTTGGGCAGGACCATTCTTTGTGATTGGGACCATTGAACACATTGCAAGATGTTTAGCATCCTTGGCCCCCACTAAACTAAATGCTCAAAGTGCTCCTGTACCCGCAGTCATTGTGACACCCAAAATTATCTGCACATTTTTCCAAAGACCCCCTGGGGCTGGAGGATGATATCACTTCTGTTGAGAAACATTCTTCTTTTTTTTTTCCGTAGAATCCATCCTGGGTATTTTTGACAGAGGAATTCTTTATTTATTTACTTATTGTATTGTATTTTTTTTTTTTTGAGGAAGATTAGCCCTGAGCTAACTACTGCCAATCTTCCTCTTTTTGCTGAGGAAGACTGACCCTGAGCTAACATCCATGCCTATCTTCCTTTACTTTATACGTGGGATGCCTACCACAGCTTGGCTTTTTGCCAAGTGGTGCCATGTCCGTACCCGGGATCTGAACCGGCGAACCCTGGGCCACCGAGAAGCAGAACATGTGAACTTAACCTCTGCGCCACTGGGCCAGCCCTGACAGAGGAATTCTTAACTACTTGATCATGTCATTTTCCTGCCAAAAAATCAACAGTGGCTGTTGCCTTCCATATGAACTAAAAAGTCTTTTCAGGTTTTAAGATCGCTATTCCTGTCTAGCCCCTATTCGTTCTAACCTTATTTCCCACCGTTCCCTGGGTGTTTTCTCTGCCCTGGTTGGAAGCATCCCACCCTCCTCGTCTTATTCCGTGCTCCTTCCCTGCTGTTGCTGATGGTCCCCACATTTGAGCTGAGCTCCTCTTTCACATTGTTCCTCTGGCTATTCTAGCCTATTTTGGACCCTTTTCCTTCCTTTGGTTTAGATATTGTATGTACAGGCATACACGTTTATATTGTTTTTATATAAACTTCCATTCAGTTTCACGTTTGCTGTTTTCTGATTATTGCATCTGAATTATCGGTCCTTCTTAACCAAAATTACAAGCTTCTTCAGGCAGGCTCATCGGTCTTGAATCCTCTGTAGCATCTGTGCATATGGTATCATAGTTCAGAACACTGTCTTTGACATCAGACTGTTGGATGTATGTCCTGGCACTGTCAGTTACTAATCAAGTGACCTTGAGCAAGTTGCTTAACCTCTCTTAGCCTCAATGAAATGGGGATGATGATAATATCTGCCTCATAGGGGTTTTGTGATGGTTAAATACCATACTAGTTATAAAACCCTCAACGGTTCCTGGCATGTGATTAAACATTCAAGAAATATTATAATGGCTAATGTTATTATTAAAGGCATCCTTATTGATTAAACTATGTTTTTTGCTAACAAGTTTTTCTGTTTGATGTTTTTCGTCTCCCATAGGTTTTGGCTGATGGTTTGAGGACTGGGGTAACTGAATGGCCTGAGCCTCTGGAAGCAAAATCTGCCGTTGAACTCATGCAGGAATTTCTGAATGGTGTTTGTCTTCCTAACTCACACTTCGATATTGTTTATATTTTCTTTACCGTTTATTTTCTTAATTGAGAATTTATACTTGCTATATCTAAATATAAGTTGTCGTTTTTGGCTTGGTATTCTTTTTGGTTGAGATATGTATAAAACTGTGAGGTCTGCCATGGCCAGAGGGGCAGCTTTTGTTCTGAACTGCTAATGTTAAAGGTCTATGCAATTTTAAGAATAATATTTAATTTAAATTTTATATCCCACAATTGTATTTGAGATTGTAGGAGAAGAGGGATGGGGCAGTAACCTTTGAGTACCTATCACTGCCCGACATTGTGTGTCGGGGGCTCACTGTTCCTCGCTTCCCCCTCACACCGTTACCTGGGGTGTACCGGTTATGGCGTCCACTGGAGAGGGAAGTAACGTGCTAAACTCCCCATTATACTTCTACTGCCTCCTTTTGACATTTGAAAATGGGATTAGGATGGAAATTATTTGGAAAGCAGAAAAATAAAATCCAGAGTTAATAAGCTTTTGCTGCTTTCTAGACTTAAATAAGCTGGATGGATTTGGTGACTCTACAAAAAAAGACACAGAGGTAAGTGATTATTATCAGTTAAAAATGTACACTGAAATAGCTTTGAAATTTGGTTGTAATGTTATCTTTTGTGTCATACCATCTCAAATGGATCTGGCACAGCCATGACAGTGTTTTGAGGGTAATTTCTTGTTTTTCTTTAACGTCAGTACTGGTGATTGTTTTCCTCAAGATCTGATAAGTATTTTTAAAGAGAATTAATACATATGTAGGTTAATTGCTCAACTGCAGAGAAGGAGAAATGACTATGTTAATATGCCATAACGTGGTATTACTATGGTATTCTAAGATACTATGAGATGGTATGTTGATGTGCCATACATGGTATTATTAAATTAAGCTAAATAGGTTGTCTTTTGACAAATAGGAAAATGGAGACAAAGGCAATTTAAATATTTTTACATGGAAGGAAAGTCAAATGCTTGCTTTTAGTCATCACAGTTTTAAAACAATTTTAGGGGTCCTGTTTGTCATTGTCAATTTATTTGTATCTCCTCATTAGTGAATGAAGTTGTAGAAAATTAGTTCACATCTGTGTGTGTGTTCGTGGATCCACATTTTCTTGGAGCAGCATTTGAAAGCTGTTTGGCCTTAAACTATTTCAATATATTTTTTTTTTTAGTAAACTGAGTATCTCTGACGCTTGCTTCTTTTTCAGACAGTGAAGCATGACAGTGCTGCCGTTGATCGCTCCATCGAGTGTCTCTTCACAGTACGGGGTGATCTCGATTTTGCTGAGCAGCTGTGGTGCAAAATGAGCAGTAGTAGGTATCCATCCTGATTGTAAAGTGAAATTTTTCCTGTTATTTCTTGGGTTTATTTTGAAGTCTTTTGGAAATAGTATAATGTGTACTGCTGGTCTCATGTGGACATCTGGTTCCTGTTTTATCAGATTCATTTCTAATAATGCATTGGCACATTCTAATCAAGAATTGTACTACCACAAGGCAATTCATAGAATCTATTTTATTCTCCTGCCTGAAGCATAAGACTTAGGTGGTTTCTATGCTATAGTTATGGGAACCAAAACATATACCATAGTGAAATTATAATTATTAAAAAAAGGAAAAGATATTCCTTAATATTTTACTAAGTGTGTTATCTTGTGGCACTGAGTTTAATTTCTTTCTTTAGAAACGCATTGAATCTTTTTTGGGGGGTTTAATTTCTCTCTCCTTTCCCATCCATAAAGTACAGAAAGTACTTGTCCATAAAGTACTTGTCTTCCACTTCATTTATGTATCCTTAAGATTAATGACATCTTTGATCTGCAGAAATAACCATGAAAATAACATTAGGCTGACTTGCTTTCCAAGGCGTGATCTCCTATCAAGACTTGGTGAAGTGTTTCGCGTTGATCATCCAGAGTCTGCAGCGTGGTGACGTCCAGCCGTGGGTAGGTTTAGCAGCGGTGCTGGAACATGTTCACAGCGTAGCGGGGTGGTTAAGAACACAGGCTCTGGGGCAGACTGCCTGGGTTTCCATTCCAGCCCTGCTGCTTTCTAGCTGTGTAACCTTGGGCAGGTTCCTTTACTTCTCTGTGCGCCAGTTTCCTCGTCTATAAAGTAGGGATAAGAATAGTATCCACCACATAGTGTTGTTTTAGGATTAAATAATTTAATTCATGTAAAACACTTAGTGCCCAGCTGGTAGTTAAGTGCTCAGTATCTGTAAGCTGCTGATATAGTTATTGCTGTTGCTATGAATGATCACTCTCATATACCACTGATGCGAGTACAAATTGGAACACGCTCTAAAACGCAATTTTAATAATGTATTAAGATCCTCAAAATGTATATCATGCCCTTTCAATGAATAATTCTTTTGTTAGCATCCATCCAAAGCTCATACACACAACTATGTGTCAAGATTTTATGTATTAGAATAGTTATTGCAGCCTCATTTATGGTAGCAAAAAATTGTAAATGATCTGAATTCTCACTGTTTTTCTTTTTTTTTTATTGAGGTATCCGCTATTAATGGAATGACTAAGTGAATAATGATGGAGCCACATGATGGCACATGTAATAGTTGCTAAAAATGGTGCTGACAGATGATGTAGAGAAATGCTTGTAAAGTTCAGTAAAAAAAAAAGGAGTATATACTATTGTATAAAAGGTGTAATTTTGGAGAGAAAAATCTGGAAGTAAATATGCTAAAATGTTATAGCAGTCACCTCTGGTGGAAGGGATACAAATGAATTTTTCCAACTGCGTTATACATTTCTGTACTTTACAGATTTTCCATAATGAATTTCTGCTTTTATAATTTAAAAAAAGCTAGGCAAAAAGCTAGGAACAAAAAGATTCTCATTTAATAGGAATTATTTTAAATAATGTGGCTGCCAATTCATGACTCTAAAACTTAGAAATTTTCATAGGTGTGAACAAGGATACACTCCAGAGCAAAGTCTTGCAAACTCTGCTCTAATTGAGCATGAGTGACTTTAGGCATTTTAGGCTTGGCCATTGAATTCTTCTCTTGAGAGTCTCTCTGTTTGTGAGATATTTATAAGTATATCCCTACTGTGTGCAACAAGTGCAGACAAGGTGAAAATAGTTTAAAAAAATTCAAAAGATTGTGATGAAAATTAGAGATAATAGGAAGACAGTAGTGAGATGTCAAATATTTTAGGTATGTTTAAAATTAATTGTTTAACATTTGGAACACATGTTAGGTCTATAAGCTCACAGCTCTTATTTATTTATTTATATTCTTTTTTTTTTTTGAGGAAGATTAGCCCTAAGCTAACATCTGCCACCAATCTTCCTCTTTTTGCTGAGGAAGACTGGCCTTGAGCTAGCATCTGGGCCCGTCTTTCTCTACCTTATATGTGGGATGCCTACCACAGCATAGTTTAACAAGTGGTGTGTAGGTCCACACCCAGGATCCGAACCAGTGAACTCTGGGCCGCCGACGTGTGAACTTTACTGCTGCACCACTGGGCCAGCCCCTCACAGCTCTTTTTAATTTGCAAATGATCAAGTCAGTATGTTGGCTGTTGTAGCCAATAAAGAATTCCTTATGACACACGCACAGACCATTGAGGGAGCAGCAGCAGGTTTTCGGTGTAGTTGAAGATATTCAATTTTGGAAAAGATGCCCGATAGCACTTAATCAGCCAGGAGAAGAGAATTCCTAGTTGTAGAGCTTCAAAGGTCCCGCTCTGCCTTCTCTTTCGTGCAATTGTATCTAGAGGTGATGAGTTTAAACCCTTCTTAATTGCTTTGGACTTAAGTAAATAAGGTAGGAATGGCACTTTAGAAACTGCCGTGTTTGTAACTTGGGTGCTTTTATTCAAACAATTTGTGGTATCAGGAGACTAAAAATGCAAGCTTATCGTTTTTAGCTTGAAGCTCATGCAGTCTGCTTCTCTTTTGCTTACTGGGCTTATTTATCATTTTATTTATGGTTTTATAAAATTTTCTCGATTTCTAGCTCCATAGTGGGAGTAACAGTTTACTAAGTAAGCTGATTCATCAGTCTTATCATGGAGCCATGGACACAGTTTCTCTCAGTGGGACTGTTCCAGTTCAGATGCTTTTGGAAATTGGTTTGGACAAACTGAAGAAAGATTATATCAGTTTTTTCATAGGTAAGTCCCTTTCCCAGCTCAAGAAATTAAAAAATACATCACGGTTGGCAGCCATAGGTAATCTCAGGTTTGATCTTTCTACTTGTCCCTGGTTGGTTGTAGTCCTGGCTTTGCCCCTGGTTCGTTGTGAGACCAGCATTTCTGTTCTCTGGGCCTTCGTTTCCCCTTCAATAAAGATTAGATTAAAGAGGACTGGAGTTTTTATTTGTTTGTTAGTTTTTAGTTCAGACATTTTGAGATTCTATGAGGTTAGTGTAGTAAATAAAACACCCTTTTTTGTGATGCTGCTTTAATAGCCAACACGTGGTTGTTTTTATTAGGGGCAAGCTGTGACCATTTTTATAAGTACTAGTATATATTTATAGTGTAATGTGCCAGAAAATTTGGCTCTTTGTGAGAAACTTTTTAGCTTGAGCATTTCTTTTATACATGAACTATGAAAACTTTTTCTTAAATTGCTCAACATGTAATACACAATACCTAAAGCTTATTTGCATATGTGTATTTTTTTTAATAGGTCAGGAACTGGCATCTTTGAATCATTTGGTGAGTTTTTTTTTATTCTAAAGTTGGTTTTTCTGTTATTGTCATTCTGCATACAATTATTAAGGACCTACTCTGTGCCAGCCTCTGTCCTAAGTCCTAGGAAGCAGATAAATAAGACAGTCAGTGCCCTTAATTATACTGTCTAATAAGGCAGACAAAAAAGTAGCCCATTCAATGTCATTTCATGATACTGAAGTATAGTTGTATCCTGCTTAAACCAAGGTGCTCCCACAACTCTCGTTTACCTAAAAGGGTTAGCGAATGCCTTCCTTTGGTAGGCCCTGTAGAATTTCCTATGTTCTGTAATATATTGATTCAAAAGATGCTTCTGAGTTTCAGAGTCATGATTACGAGCTTTCGTATTTTCCTGGTGTACTGATTTAGAAAGTTTAGGAGATTGACGATCATCTGTACTGACCCTGACATTCGTTGGGAGATCCTTTTAGAAAATGGATCTATAGTATCAACTTGTTTGTCATTTGTCTCTTATAAAAATACAAGATAGAAAAACTCTAGCTATATTGTGCAAAGTAAGACTCAGTTGGATTCTTTTGAGGTTAATTTTTGCTATTCAAATTTTAACGATTTTATTAAGAGTACATATTTTTAGTGGAAACATGCTTTAGCAAAATATATATATGATAATGGAGGGCCCAGAGGAGATTGCTTGGTGTTTTTATACTTTTTCTTTTTTTTTTTTTGTTTGAGGAAGATTGGCCCTGGGCTAACATCTATGCCCATTTTCCTCTATTTTATATATAGGACACCTGCTACAGCATGGCTTGATAAGCAGTGCTAGGCCCGCACTGGGATCTGAACCAGCAAACCCTGGGCCACTGAAGCAGAACATGAGAACTTAACTGCTATGCCACCGGGCTGGCCCTTTATACATTTTTTTAAACTTAGAAAAGTAATAACATTTTTGAAAGTTAGACTATAGTTCAGACATACCTTTTATCTCATCACCCAAATATGAGTGCTCTTATTTTTATGAATTTCCCTCAAGTCATTTCATATGCCTTGTTTTTTTAAATATGGTGCAGACTTTCGACACAATAGTCCTTAAACTTTGAGAATCTCCTAGAAGATTTTGAAGTGCTAATTCCTGGGCCCCTATGGCTCAGTAGGCATAGGGCTCAGGAATACGTCCTCAACTTCTAGAGGCCACTCCATTCCTTGGCTGCTGGCCCCTTTAAGAGTTCATGTGGTTGGACTGGGCTCACCTGCATAATCCAGGCTGCTCTCCCAATTTTAAGGTCAAATGACCTTAATTCCATCTACAACCTTAATTCCTTTTTGCCATAAATGCAACATATTCACTTCTGGGATTAGGGCATGGACATCTTTGGTTTTCTGCCTTTCTCAAGCAGGCCACATCTTGAGAAACACTGGGCTACATTGCCTCCAGGTAATCATTGACATCAGGCTGTGTCACCTCTGTGCAGTCTTGTGGGCAGGCAGAGGTCGAGCAGCCTAGGTTGTAGCATGGGCGGAGACAGTCAAAGGGGGAGGGCAATCTGGGCGTGTTCCTTTGTGCAAAGAAGCTCCTGGGGTGCTCCCCCTCCAGAGCTGTCCGGGGACCACTGGGAATACGGGTGACAGGTGCAGGTGATGGAGTGGTCTCTAGCTTGTGTTGGGGTCCTCCCTTCCTGGGACCATGCCTATTTTCCTACTTGTGTTATTTTCACATGTTGGAATAACCTTTGTAAGACAATAAATATGTCCCTATATTTTGGATTTAATTGTAAATGAATTTGGATTTTAAATTATCACATTTTGCTTAGCTTCTTTTAAACTGTAATTTAGGGTTACCCAGGGATCTCTCCTACTCCCCTGCCATTACCTCCAATCAATTTTTTTGGTGAGGAGATTGGCCTTGAGCTAACATCTGTTGCCAGTCTTACTATTTTTGTGTTGTTTTCCTCCGCAGAGCCCCAGTACGTAGTTGTATATCCTAGTTGTAGGTCTTTATAGTTCCTCTAAGTGGGACGCCGCCTCAGCGTGGCTTGATGAGCGGTGCCATGTCCAGATCTGAACCGGCGAACCCCGGGGCCGCCAAAGCAGATGGAGTGCGCGAACTTAACCACTTGGCCACGGGGCCGGCCCCTGACTGTAACTTTTCCCTTACTGTATTAGTTTTCTATTACTGTCTAAACTTGGAAGCATAAGTGAACACAAATTTATTATCTCAGTTTCCAGGGGTTGGGAGTTGGGCTCATTTTAGCTGGGTCCTCTGCTTAGGGTTTCACACGGCTGAGATCAAGATGTCAGCCAGCTGTGTACTCATCTGGAGTCTTGATAGAAAAGGTCCACTTCCAGGTTCTCTCATTTGTTGTTGGCAGAATTCACTTACTTCTGGCTCTATGATGAAGGTCCCTGGTTTCTTGCTGTAGCTGGTGGCCCAGGACAAGTCTCAGGTTTTAGAGGTTGCTTGCCGGTCCTTGCCATGTGGCCCTCTCCAAAACATGATAGTTTGTTTCTTCAAAGCCGGTGCGAGAGCCTCTCTAATGCTTCATCTTCTTTTAAAAGGCTACCTGACTAGGTCAGAGTAATGAGCAGGTGATACTCTTGCTTTTGATTAGCTCGCAGTCCATCAACCAGTAACCTAATCCTGGGAGTAACACCCCCTCATACTTGCAGGTTCTGGCTTCATTCAGGGTGAAGGGAATTATACAAGATGTGTACTCCGGGGGCCAGGCGTCTTGGGGGTCATTGTAGAAGTCCATCTAGCGTATTTTCCATGGGTTATTTCCTTAGGATGGGTTCTCAGAAATAGAAGGTCTGAGCATTTTCTGATGCTTGATATACGTTGCCATATTTCTTTTCCAAAGGGTCATACCAATTTACCAGTAATGTATGTTAGTGGAAGCTTATCAATACACTTGCTTAATTTCTTGGTACTTCAGGTTTACTGTCTGATTTTAGAAGTGGACACTTCCGTCAACCCAGCAAGTGGATTGAAGTTCAGAATGATCTTGTGGATTTACCTTCCTTCCACTTGGAGAGCTTGGGGCAGTGTTAGTCACCCACTTGGGCCTCCTCGATGAAGGAGTTCTGTGATTTGCCTTTACCAGAGAATATGTATAATGGTTTGCTTAGAACATTCTCAGTCAATCAGTCAAGACTTTACTTACAGTTTAGTTTGAGGAAGAATATGGAAAGGCGGAAAGCTGCCTAGCTGCCTCCTGTCTTTTTTTCCCTCTATCAATCAAGCATCCAAACCTACGTTTGGCAGGCATAGCCATATTCTTCCCAAAGATTCCGCTTGTTCTTTTTTTTTTTTTTTTTAAAGACTTAATTTTTTTTTTTTTTTTTTAATGTTATGATAGATTACAACCTTGTGAGATTTCAGTTGTACATTTTTGTTAGTCATGTTGTGGGTACACCACTTCCCCCTCCGTACCCTCCCCCCACCCCCCCTTTTCCCTGGTAACCACCGATCAGATCTCCTTCTCAATATACTAATTTCCACCTATGAGTGGAGTCATATAGAGTTCGTCTTTCTCTGACTGACTTATTTCGCTTAACATAATGCCCTCGAGGTCCATCCACGTTGTTGTGAATGGGCCAATTTCGTCTTTTTTTATGGCTGAGTAGTATTCCATTGTGTATATATACCACATCTTCTTTATCCAATCATCAGTTTCTGGGCATGTAGGCTGGTTCCACGTCTTGGCTATTGTAAATAATGCTGCGATGAATATAGGGGTGCAACGGACTCTTGAGATATCTGATATCAGGTTCTTAGGATAGATACCCAGTAATGGGATGGCTGGGTCATAGGGTATTTCTATTTTTAACTTTTTGAGAAATCTCCATACTGTTTTCCATAGTGGCTGTACCAGTTTGCATTCCCACCAACAGTGTATGAGGGTTCCTCTTTCTCCACAACCTCTCCAACATTTGTCGTTCTTGGTTTTGGATGTTTTTGCCAATCTAACGGGGGTAAGGTGATATCTTAGTGTAGTTTTGATTTGCATTTCCCTGATGATTAGCGATGATGAACATCTTTTCATGTGTCTATTGGCCATATTCATATCTTCTTTTGAGAAATGTCTGTTCATGTCCTCTGCCCATTTTTTGATCGGGTTGTTTGTTTTTTTGTTGTTAAGCAGTGTGAGTTCTTTGTATATTATGGAGATTAACCCTTTGTCGGATAAGTGGCTTGTAAATATTTTTTCCCAATTAGTGAGCTGTTTTTTTGTTTCAATCCTGTTTTCCCTTGCCTTGAAGAAGCTCTTTAGTCTGATGAAGTCCCATTTGTTTATTCTTTCTATTGTTTCCCTCAACTGAGGAGTTACAGTGTCCGAAAAGATTCTTTTGAAACTGATGTCAAAGAGTGTACTGCCTATATTCTCTTCCAAAAGACTTATTGTCTCAGGCCTAATCTTTAGGTCTTTGATCCATTTTGAGTTTATTTTGGTGTGTGGTGAAAAAGAATGGTCAATTTTCAATCTTTTGCATGTGGCTGTCCAGTTTTCCCAGCACCATTTGTTGAAGAGACTTTCTTTTCTCCATTGTAGGCCCTCTGCTCCTTTGTCGAAGATTAGCTGTCCATAGATGTGTGGTTTTATCTCTGGGCTTTCAATTCTGTTCCATTGATCTGTGGACCTGTTTTTGTACCAGTACCATGCTGTTTTGATCACTGTAGCTTTGTAGTATGTTTTGAAATCGGGGATTGCGATTCCGCCGGCTTTGTTTTTCTTGCTCAGGATTGCTTTAGCAATTCGCGGTCTTTTGTTCCCCCATATGAATTTTAGGATTGTTTGTTCAATTTCTGTGAAGAATGTTCTTGGGATTCTGATTGGGATAGCATTGAATCTGTATATTGCTTTAGGTAGTATGGACATTTTAACTATGTTTATTCTTCCAATCCATGTGCAAGGAATGTTTTTCCATCTCTTTATGTCATCGCCTATTTCTTTCAAGAAAGTCTTGTAGTTTTCATTGTATAGATCCTTCACTTCCTTGGTTAAGTTTATCCCAAGGTATTTTATTCTTTTCGTTGCGATTGTGAATGGGATAGAGTTCTTGAGTTCTTTTTCTGTTAGTTTATTGTTAGTGTATAGAAATGCTACTGATTTATGCACGTCCGCTTGTTCTTTAACTCCCTATTTTGCTTGTACTTTTCTTCATTCCAGGAATATTTCATTTCTCCATCAGTTGATATACAAGAACAGGTTTATCGTGTTCAAAAACTCCACCATATTCTGGAAATACTAGTCAGTTGCATGCTTTTCATTAAACTTCAACATGAGCTCCTCTTTTCTTTAACACAGTGAGTATTTCTCTGTTGTTTACTTACATAAAAATGTATTCTCTTCTGAAATAGTTGCAGCCAAAATATATGCATTTTGTGCTATGAGTTCGGATAGAATCTGCGCCCTGTCCGCACGGTAGCAGAGTGGTTCCATGTCACTGCCGGAGGGAGGAAAGACTCATGGATTCAGAGGGATCCGGTTTGACACCTGGCGCTGACACTTCCTGACTTGCTGAGGAAGTTTCCTTTCACTGCAGCTTGTTTTCTCATCTGTGAAAAGGCTCTAATAACCTCATGTGTTTGTGTTAGGATTAAATGGTGTAATATGCGTAAAGTACCTGACACTTAGAGGTGCTTAACAAATATTAGTTCCTTCTCTTTTCTGTGCATCCTTATAAGTTTAGGCCAAACTAATCTTTGCCAGCCGTCTCCATGGTAACTGAATGGAATCAGATATTATCACTAGACCTCTATCAGTAGTATTGCTGTAATTTTAGAGATTCTGCTGATCAGTTTCACTGAAAACAGTTTGGAATGATTCTCATACGTGGATTGCTGGGGTCTTATGTGTATTTGAGGTTTCCAACTGGAAATCAGTGAACTGGCCAGTGGAAGGACTGGGTTTCTTTTTCCCTGTGGAAGGAAATGAACCACTGTCTTTTCTAAAATTAGAATTTCCTTAGTTGTAAAGGGAAAAGTTTGAAATAATTATTATTTTTTCCATTAAAGAGCAGTAGTTAACTCTTTAATTCCCCAGACTCAGAACACCGTGGAGGCTGTCTCTGTCTTTTGCCTCTTTTTGTTTTTCTCTTTCTCATACGTCTTTCTCCCCACTTAAGCCTTTACTTGGGTTCAACTTAAATATATTTTATATTTATGAGAAATATGTCCACAATTAATTTTTAAAAAGTGAATGAGATTGTTTTTCAAAGAAAAAAAATAACCTAATTTTTTGGGAGAAGAGGGTTTATTTGTTTTTTATTTTTGTGGCTCTGAAATTATTCTCCTGTTGATGTTATGGTTAGTGGTATTCAATAAAATGTTTCCTTTATGAGCTTTAGACTACAGATACAGGAAAGCCTTTCTCTCCAAGTCACGTTTTTTCCAAAAGAAGTTCTTTTTCTTTCCTTTTTTTAGATCTTGCATAAAATACTATAAACAAAATCCTCTTGATGAGCAACACATTTTTCAGCTGCCAGTCAGACCAACTGCTATAAAAAACTTATATCAAAGGTAAGCAATTTCATAATTATACTTTAAGTGCAGCCATGATTCTAGGCAATTTCAGTCTCTGTTCAGGGGACCTCATGACGCAGAGCTGTTTCACCTCTGCGACCACGATCACCCGATTCCCACTGTCTGACCATAGTCTGATAGACTTCTCCGTCTTCCTTCTCCCGGACCTTTTGTCTGCTCTCTGTAGGCTGTTGGGCCTCTAGTCTTTCCTTTTTCTCTTAATTCGTAATTCCTTCACAGAGTAGGGCAGAAAGTACAGCCAGCAGGAAATGACAGGCTGGGAAAAACTGATGAGGGGAATGACAACAAAGTCAAGGGTCTGGCTGTGGGAGTGGGAGCAGGGTTTGGGATCGGGGAGGTCTGGGGCGGTGAGGCTAAGAGGATAGATTACCCGTCCACATGGACGCTGAGGACACGGGGGTTGCCTCAGTGATGGTCTCCTCTCATTCATCCCTCAGCATATAAGGGACTTGAAATTTCTCTGTACTAAAGCCGCTCTATTCAAACCCTCCTCTCATTAGTCACCTGTTCGCCAAACCTCATCGCTCCCCTGAAACTGCTCTGGCAAAGCTCTCCAGTGGCCTAATCACGCAATCCGGTGGACAGTTTCCAGGAGAAGAGTGTCGGCCCCGGTGCTTAGCTGGCCCTCACCTCCTTCTCCTTCAGCGAGCACTTAAAGGCTCTTCGGCATCTGGCCTTTTTGCTGTGTTGAGCTAATGCCCTTCCTTCGTTTCTCAGACATAACATTCTGTCTTAATTTTTAATTCTACTCTCTGCCCACCTCCCAGCCTGAGACTAGTTCTCTTTTCAGCTTCTTTCTCTGCCTGCTTCATGTGTGAGTTTTCACCAGAACTTCATCTTCTGCCCTCTTTTCTCCTTACTTCCTGTCTTCCCTGGGGGCTGCACTCATACTCCAGGCGTCAGTTCCTCTTCGCTAGTGACAGTTCACGCCCTGTATCTCAGCTTCTCCTGAGCATCACATCCATGGTTCTAAATGCCTGTTAGATGTGAACCCTCAACTTCACCATCCTGTAGATAGTTCAGACTAAATCCAAGCCCCTCATCCCCTTCCTAACGCTTTTCCTCCTCCAGGATTTTCTCTCTCAAGTGACCGTTACTAATCTCCACCTGATGCCCCAGACAAACCTAGGACTCATCTTCCACTCATTGTTGTCACTTCCTCCCTCCGTTAAGTGGTTACCAAGTCCTGACCTTCGTGGAAGCTCTCGAATCCACCCCCTTCTCTCCCTCTTCACCTCGTCGTTCCTCGCCTCCCGCCTGGTCGTGTCATGCCTGGCAGTATGGTAGAATCCTTTTTCCTGCTGCCCTTCTGCCTCCGTTTTCTCCCTTCTCTACGCCACTGCCCAAGTGGTCTTCCTAAGAGTCAGACGCCGTCATGACTTCCTTCTGTTTAAGTGGCCCCCTTACCTTCAGGGCAGTGTTCCAGTGCCTGAGCGCGGTCTGTGAGGCCTTCTGTGCCTGGCCTCTGTGCCTTTCTGGCCCACGTGCCACCGTGTCTTCCCTCTCTCCTTTTGAGTTAGAGAAACTGTCGCTGCATTTCCTCAGACCCTCCACAGGCCCACCTCTGAGCGCCCACGCACGTGTCTGTCCTGGACCTTGTCCGCTTGACTGACTGACTCCTCCTTAGAATTTCATACTCAGCTCAAAGGCCTCAGTCTCTGAGGAGTCTTTTCCAGCTCTACAATCCCAATCTGAGTTAAATTACCCCTCTTTTACTGTCCCCTACCACATTCGGGATTCCTCTATTATAGCATTTCTTTTTAATTGTTATCATTTATATCCTTTTTGCTCTCGCTCTTTTGACTGTGCTTCTTGAGGGTGGGAATTGTGTGACCTCTTCATCTCTTCTTCCTCAGTGCTTATCAGCAAGGACTTCACTGAGTGACTACAGAAGGAAGGAAATGGGGTTTTTTCCCTCCCCTTTGATGTTTTTTCTTTCTTTAGTGAGAAGCCCCAGAAATGGAGAGTGGAAATAAATAGTGGTCAAAAGAAAGTGAAAACAGTTTGGCAACTGAGTGACAGCCCACCTGTAGACCATCTGAATTTTCACAAACCCGGTAAAGATGGTTTGTAATCTTTTCAGATAAATTATTCCAATAGAAAATAAACTAAGTTTACTGGTGGAGATCATTATTATAGCTCTTGTGACAAGTTTTAAATAGTTTTCCTGAACTCTTGGTATAAAACATATATATTCTGGAAAAAAAAAATCATGAAAGAGTACTTTTTCTCATTATCCTGGATAGAGGAGCTTTTAGTAAGTCACACAGTAGGGACATAGGTGTAAAAATAGGTAATAAGATGGAAATACCAGCTCATACTTCACCCTTTCACACACTGTTTACAACAGTGATGATATTTCCGCCCTAATGTCTTCTCTGTGGCTGCAATAAGGGTTGAGCTTTCTAGTATTCTATCAAAGATGGTTTGTGTCAAAGAATATCTTTTATCCCCTGGCATAATCACCTGGCCCACCACGTCTTCCCCCTTCAGTAAGCACCCATAAAAGTGTTATCTTCATGGGTATGGCTAGTATGGGGCTGTCTTCTCTGATTTGTATAGGTCTTAAAAGGCTGCATTCAAATATTGCAAGGATTATCCAATATCAAATCTGATGGTTTTAAGACAGAATTTAAGAAGATTTTTGAAGGCCTGTAGTCAATCACTGTTGGGAATGCAAATAGTCCTATTTTCATGATTGATGCTTTGAAAATTATTTCCAGAAAATGTTTATTCTTCTCCCTAAAATATATTTTGATTCAGGCATAATGGAAACTTCTCTATTCATATGGCTGAACTATCAAAGTCCTAAAGAAACTGAAAGAATTTCCTGAGAACCATCATTTAATATCGTGCTGTCTTTCTAAGTATGATATAAAACTTGAAAGCTATAAAAGATTGAAAATCAACTACATAAAAGATAGAAGCATTTCTGCATGGCGAAAAATACCATAAGCAAAACAACCGATAAATGATAAACTAGGAAAAGAAGTTTGCAGCTCGTGATGAGAAAAGGCTATATTCCCTAGTATATAAAGAACTTTCAAATCAGTGAGAAAAAATATTAATAACTCAATAGAAAAATGGGCAAGTAGTATGAACAGTTTACCAAAAAGGAAATTCAAATGTCATCTTAAAAATAAAAGGTGCTCCACCCCACCTCTAAGAAGAGAAATGCGATTTTGTATCATGTAGACACCATCTCTCACTTGTCAGACTAGCAAACATCAAGAGATTTGGTGTCCCGGTACTGGCCGGGATCTGGGAGGACAGGTGATCGACCTCACACGGTGCTGGTTCCAGTGCACAGTTGTACAGCTTCCGTGGAGGATGATATCCACCAAAGTTGTTTTTGAAGAATACGTTTTTTGGCTCGGCAGATCCATTAATAGGAATTTATTCCACACACATAGCCATGTGCAAAAAGGCCTGTGAACAAGGTATTAATTGTGGTATTGTTTACACTAACAAAATACTGGAAAAACACAGAGACTGGCGCATAGAGAAAGGTCCGACAGGACACAGCCATCTTTAACCCTGAGGTCTGGAATGGTGCGGCCAGGGAGTGTTCTCAGCTTTGGCTGAGTGTTAGAATCATCTGGGGAGCTTTTAAAGTCCTGATACCCAGACCAGGTGAATCAGAGCCTCTGGAGACAGAGCCTGGACATCAGCAATGGTGAAAGTCCTCCCGGGGATTCCTTTGCACCACTAAGGTTGAGAACCACCGAACTAAACACTGTATTTTATCTACATCTGTCGTTTCAGGGTTGTTTTTTTTAAAAGACATGTATTACTTTTATGATTAAAAAGAAGACTTTAAAGACACGAATATATGTGATATATTTTTTAATGCCATTTTAAAATAAATTTTATTACATAAAGATTAAACCTCTGTTATGAGGAAATTCATGCAGGATTAAACACCTTTTTCCAATGATGCTGAATAAATGAAGTATACCGAACATATCTTCTAGAGTCTATTTGGTGCAAGTTGCTTCAAAAAAGGGACTTTTAAATGTTAGAGTTAAAACAATTTGCTAATGCATTGATTCAATGACTCCTTTTATGGAAATAAGGAATTCTTATAAAATTGTATATTTGCGTGCTTAGAAACACTCAAACTTCATTTTGCTTGAACTTTATAACCTCTTCTATCTATCATATATTCTTGATGTATTTGCCTAGAAATTATTCAGTGACCTTTGGCTCAAAACAAGACCCACTGTTGAAGGAGGACCTCATTTGTACAAGTCATGGGCTATTCAAACAAAGCCCTGATTGTAAATATTAAAGTCCAATAATGATTTTTTCTTTTGAGGAAGATTAGCCCTGAGCTAATATCTGCCACCAATCCTTCTCTTTTTTGCTGAGGAAGACTGGCCCTGAGCTATCATCTGTGCCCATCTTCCTCTACTTTATATGTGGGACGCCTACCACAGCATGGTTTGACAAGCGGTGTGTAGGTCCACACCCAGGATCTGAACCGGTGAACCCCAGGCCACTGAAGTGGAACATGTGAACTTAACTGCTGTGCCACCAGGCCAGCCCCAATAATGATTTATTTTTTGCCAAAGATTATAATGCGCTTAAGAAGTTAAACTTTCTGTTTCCTTGGACTGAGCACTTAGGTCGAATACTAGCTTAAGGTGTGTAATGGTATGATACTCTTGAGTAAAACAGTTGACATCAAAAGCAGGAAGACTTGAGAGAGAAGTGTACTTTTAGCAGCCATAGGAAGAGAGAATAATGGTTTAGAGTTAATGGGGGAGAAAAACAGTGTCCAGCAGTGCTCCTCACCTCTTGGGTACTCAGCAGATGAATGCTGATAACGGTAAGAATGTGGAAACGGAAACGATGACTCACAGGGAAGTGGCTGTAATCTCGTCTAGATGTCTATTGTACTGTTTATTTTTTGAAATATAGTAGTCCTCAGGAAGAAAATGTGAACATGTGTCTAGTCTTCAGACTACAAATCCTAAGTGGAAAAGGTTTTCTGAAATATGTATTAAGATAGGAAAAAAGACAGTATTTAATCATAGTGGATGAGGCACAAAAAAATAAAGCAGTAGGTCCCCAAATTAAAAATACGTAATTTAAAAAAAAAAACCTGCTTTATATTTTAGTTTGTTTAATCATGCTTTCAGTGCATCAAGAGGGTTTACTATTTAGAAGAATTGTCCTTGCTGGTTTTCATCTAACTAACTCTCTTAAAGTGAAAGGCGTGTCACTCAGACTACCCCTTGATTATGGTGAAATTCAGCAGCATACATGGCAGAAGAGCTGGCAGGATGGTAAGCAGTTCTGATCGCGCTGTCTTTGTGCTTACAGATTTTTCTGAGTTAACGTTGAACGGCAGCCTGGAAGAAAGGATGTCTTTTCCTAACATGGTCACCTGCAGCCAGGTGCATTTCAAGTGAGGGGTGCTGACAGCGTCCCCCGTAAGGTGGCAAGTTTGCTCTTTGTTCTCCCTGAATACTTTGTAGTGTGTCAAGTACCTTACGTTTTAGTTCTTTCTATAACACAAGTGCCGACTTAGTGCATTAGAAATATGGCTTCTTTGTCTGTAATCAATAAAAGGCCTACCAGATGTTATTGAGCAGTGCAAGTCTTTAATTTTCTTTCTGCTTTCTGTAGTCAACTCAGTAGGTCAGTTTAATCCTAAAACTGGAGAAATGAAAAAACATTTCTTTGAATGGTAATTTTTTTGAGTGCACCTTAAATCTGGGTATATAGTAGAAAGAGAGTTTGGTTTCAAAAACACTGATGGAAGAGAAAAGCCCTCAACAGGCATATCGATTTAACATGGGAAGTAATTTTGTTAAAAACAATTTTATCCCAGCCCAGTTGTGCAGATATAAATACCTTTTTAAAAATGTTTAGTTTGAGATAGTATTAACCAAAAGAATTAATGGAATAGCGTTTTCTACTATCTTACTCTTCTTCTGTTTCAGAAACATTACATAAAATCAGATAATGAGTAAAATACCTGACATTATTTCTTCTTAAGCTGTATTTTGCTCTCAAATGGAGATTAATTTTAGCATAAAAATAAAATGAACCTTATTTTATAAAACAAAATATCTAATTAGAGAAAAGATATATAAATTATATAATATTTCTTTGAGCTATTTCATTGAGTGAAGTGAATTGAATTTAGTGTAAGAAGTTTATCTTAGAAAAGTGTGTGCGCTCACTTTCTGGTACCTGCCTAATGCTTTTCCTTGGTTGTCTGATAGGATTTACAGCCTGAAGGTTTGTTATCTAAAGATGGTTGACTACCCATCATGTGTAGGACAGTGCTGAGATGGCAACCATTTCTACATTAAAATAATATTTCTGGACAGATTTAAAAATGAAAAAATCAAATCACAAAACAGTTAGTGTACTGTGATCCCTTTTTGCAAAATGAAAAGAGGTGCATAATGTACAGGAAAATATTGACATTGAGTTGGAGAGGGGTGAGCTTACTGTGGTTTTTATTTCATTTATGCTTATTTTTATTTTCTAATTCTTAAATCCCAGCACAAGCCAAAAAAAAAAAGAACAAAAACAAGGTAATTATTACAGAACCTGAAAACGGAAATGTATATAAACCTTTGAAGCAGAAAAAGGAGGAAGGTCCTGCAGATTCTGTATGAAAGGCGAAGCTACCAAGTGGGTGCCCGTGTCTCAGCTCTGGCCCCGCAGGAGGAGCATTAGGAGAACCGCGGCGATCAGCACACAGAGGGTACAGACCGTGGGCACCAGGATCTCCGTCACCATCTGCATGTGACTTAGCAGCGGCTCTGAAACGGGAGAGAGGGCAGCACCACAAAGGAGAATGATCATTTTAGCCAATATAGCTTCATCCCCAAAGCTTTAACTGTATTGGAGAAACTTGGAAAATGGCATCATCAAACTTTCTAATTATTCTCATTTACTATAGAAGAGAACCTGGTGAATTAAATGTTTATAAAAAATTATGTGAGGGCTTTGTAAAATATTTCAGAAAATACAGATAAAGAATGCCTAAATTTGGTTCTTCCATAGGTAGTGGAATAAAGTCTAAATGTACACTAATACTTGTGCTTACCGTAAATTAATCTGAGAATATTAGCAGCCATACCCCACTGTTTCTATAATTTTCATCGGGGGGATTGTGAAAGAAAAGTCCTTGGGAAACATTTCTAACCTTTCGAAGATGTTATTGTGTATCTTAAGAGATATAGGAATTTCTATATTGAAATTTTATATGGTAATTCTTACATGGTTAAGCAATAATCTTAAAGAGTTAAATGATAAGCATATTTCATGTCCACTAATATGGTGGTGGACATTTATGTAATACCCACTTTTAGGTTTTGTGCCTGGCACCTGGTTACCAAGATAAACAAGGCACAGGGCCTGCGCTCATGGGGTTAATAGGCTCAACAGTAAATTCTATGTTGTGTTTCTACATGATAGAATAAAAGTTTATTTGAGTTTAATGGAATATACATTCTTTTTTTTTTAAAGATTTCATTTTTCCTTTTTCTCCCCAAAGCCCCCCGGTACATAGTTGTATATTTTAGTTGTGGGTCCTTCTGGTTGTGGCATGTGGGACGCCACCTCAGCATGGCCTGATGAGCGGCGCCATGTCCACTCCCAGGATCTGAACCGGCGAAACCCTGGGCTGCTGGAGCAGAGCACGTGAACTTAACCACTCGACCACGGGGCCGGCCCCAGAATATACATTCTTAATATTACCTGGTTATTTAAATAGGGGGGCCACAGGGATATATTGGCCTATAAAACTAACTGAATTGGTAGGATTTGGTCTAGCACTTTCCATCTCTGATACCACATTAAAGATGAGTTTGTTAAAACAGGGAGTGTGTTTCTCTGATTGCCCTTATAGAGAGAGAAAGACAAAACTCAAAGAAACAGATGACGTGTGTTGGCATTTCTTGATGTGTGTGTAGTTACATCTTGGTTATTCTACATCGCTGAGCCGTTTAATCCCACACATAAGAAATGATGCCACGTTCTGTCTGTTGCCGTATCTCCAGGGCTTAAAACGCCCCCAGCTAATAGTGAGTGCTTAATCATTACTTGCTGAATAAGTGAATATAATATCTGGTGAGTTCTTTAACTTTTCTTCATTACGTTTGCTATAATAGTTGGATTTTCCCCTCCTTCCATAAAGCTCACTGTAACAAAAATAGATTTATAAATTTACAGTGTGATTCAGAAAGAAAACTATAATGGATAAAATATTTCTCTCTTGTGGTAGATTTTTAAAATATTATTTAAAATGCTAAAAAATAGAAATTTGACCTTGCTTCAAAGTGAAAAAAAATTATTTTTAATTGTGTGGTCTTGGAAGAGTGACTTCCAAAAGGTAGTCAAGGTAGATGCAGATTTTGAGATTTTGGTAATGTCCTGTGTATAAATATGCGGTTTAATTATCAAAGGGAAGAATCAAAATACACTCACCTGCAGCCAACACCTGGTTGTTGATAGAGCAAGTTTCCAAGGCTTTGAGGTGCCAACTTTCCACCTGATAAAGACCCACTTGGTAAGTAATCTCGTCTTAGACAAATTTTTTGTTGTTTGAAATCATTTTTGGAATAACGTGGGATAAAAAATTTTTTTAAGTGTGTAGTTTAAATTAGTTAATATTTACTGAAAACTTATGTGTATCATTGTGAGGGAGTCAAAAAACAGAATCTTTATTCTTGAGGGGCTTACAATCTAGTGCTTTTCTGGTAATGCAAAACCAGTGAATGCCAGAGAGCTGTCAGTTACTATTTCCGTTTATAGTCCCACTGCTCCCCCAAAAGGATGTTGGTAAACAAGTGAGATTTATTTTTTGTGTGTGTAAGGAAGATTCGCCCTGAGCTAACGTCTGTGCCAGTCTTCCTCCATTTTTGTATGTGGGAGGCCTCCACAGCATGGCTGACAAGTGGTGTAGGTCCGCTCCTGGGATCCAAACCTGCAAACCTAGGCTGCTGACGTGGAGTGTGTGGAACTTTAACCACTTGGCCACAGGGCTGGCCCCATAAACAAGTGAGATTTATCTTCTCAAGTTATCTTTATTAAGACATTCTAAATTATGATTTCTTTTCCCTGCCGTAGATAGCAGCATAGAGAGCTGGTAGAAAAATTTGTAGGGTATTGAAAATGTTTGGTGTATTTTAAAGGATTATTAAGTTTATTTTGAATGTCATTTTGGAACTAGTGCATTTGTATGGCTCTGCCATTTGATGGGAAAAGTGAAAATGATTATGATCATTACACATGTGGTTGACTTGGTTCACTTAACTGGCTTCATATGTGTTGAAGACTAGACAGTATTTGCATTGACACAACATTTAGAATAACACTTAATTAACAGTCTCTGGTGCCTGTGATAACCTGAAGCAAACAGGACTCCTGCACAACCCCAGTCTGCCCTCGATGCTCTGTGAGTTAGGGTTGAATTTAAAGGCGTGTTTACCCCATTCTAAGCAAATAAGCAAAGAAGTGGTGCGAGTGAGGGGAAGAGGAAGGCCCATCCTCCAGCGTGCCTGTCCTCTAGCGGAGGAGAGAGGAGAGATGCCTGCCAGACTCTGCGCCCCTGCTGCCCAGCTCTTCTAAAATCCAGAAGGAGCATCCATCGTGAGTCCTACCTCTCTCGGGTTGGGAAAGCCATTGGCAGTGATGATCTTCGTGTAATATTGAGCTGAAGCCTTTGGGTAGCGCGGCTTGTTTCTGTTGTTAAATTCGACATAGTAGAATCCGTATCTATCTGAGTATCCTTTCTCCCATTCAAACTTATCCAACAAAGACCAGGCGGTGTACCCTTTTATATTAACGCCATCTTTTATAGCTGCAAAGACATTTCGTTCCATTTTTAATCTTTCATTTCCTTGGGAAAATAACATTGGTGAAGATCATCTTAAATGTTTTCATTTATGAGATAAGTTTTAGTCAATCGTGTGTTATCAAATTTTGTCCAAGTTAAATAGAAAAATATGTCTTGGTTTGAATCTCACCTTTTAGCATTTCATTTGTGTATCCTTTGAGGTAGTGAATTCTCCACTCGTCACATAACTGAGTGCAGTGTGACTTTTGAGACGCTCCGTTTTCTGTCACATATATGGGAGGATCGCCATATTGAGTCTGAAAGGGAGTCATAGTAATGAATATCTTAAAAATTCCAACCCACAGGTGGGTCTCTGGGTCTGAGGCACACCTCGGAGCGCATATTCCAGCCTGCCCTGTTCTAATGAGCATATGTAGCGTTTAACAGCTGCCAGTTCACACGTTTGTTTAGAGATGAAAGTAGCAGGGGGCAAGTTCATAGGAAAGAATATATTTCTCACTGAATCAGCATCATTGTAGGGAAAATGTACTTCAGGCCTTGTTCTTTCCCACATATTCCATTTCAAATGAGAAATAATAACTCAACAAAATAACTTGGCAAAATAACCAAATGTGGGATAAGTATTTTAGCTGCAGTTACGTACGTTGACATGGTTATTCGTAGTAGGCATTAGCCTGTAAAGCTTATATCTAGTAGCCTCTGAAGTATGAGTAACTGGGTTTATTTTGTTTTATTAACTCTAAAATGTAGGCACTTGAGCGTAAGCTGTAAGAGCAGGAATTCGGGTCAAAAATGTCCTTTAAATGGCTTGTGTGACAATCACCTGAGCAAAGTTGAGGAGCCTCCTGAATCCCCATGGCACAGAATACAGCCATTGAGACCCCAGGTCCGGCCAGTTTGGGTCAACTAGTTCGACTAAGTCGCGATCGTTCTGGTAGCTGGGCCCCTGGCGGGAGGGGTAGTTCCTCTCTGTAATGTACCGAGTCGTAAAATGACCTAGTCCCAAGAAATCAGAGGTGCCTTTAACGTAGCGCTTTTCCTGGAGCGAGAACGCCGGTAACCTGGACGTGTCCAGGCCTTGCTCTGCACTCTTTCTTCCTGTGGAGAGAGGAGAGGAGAGCTCAGCAGTGTCACTTGCTCACAATCATTTTGTTGTCGTGTGCCATGATGATACTGGCATGTTAGCGTATAGGTTGTTGTGCAAATCCAGGGCTTTGGGATTCGTTTGTATGGAAAATGTCACAGCCTTTCAAACTGGAATTTTGACATTTGAATACTATCTAAAAATTTAAAAGTTTATATTGCTTAAAAGCAATATTTTCACAGATTATGCAGTGAGTGGTAATGTGGACAACTGTGAAGCCATCTGGAAAAAAAGTAATAGAGTTGGATTCCTACATTATCCCTTATATCTAAAAGGTAATTTTGGTTGCCTCTGGGAAGGGAACTGGAAGACCAGTGATGGTGCGGGGGACAGGGACATCCGGTCCCGTTCGAGCTTTGTTGTTGTAGTGTAAGCTGATACAACCTCTGCGTTGGGCAGTTTTGTCCTATCTTTCAAAATTGTACGAGTATAGTCCTTCACTGACCATTTCCAAATCTGCATGTCCTACTTGTTACTCACACGTGTAAAAGAACGTACAAGGATCTTCATTGTAGAGTGAGTAGCAAACGATTAGAAGGAACCTAAATACCAGGAGAGACTGGTTAAATAGATGACGGGCTAGCCATCAGTACAACACTGTACAGCCACCAGAGCGAGCCTGTAAAAGCAAGCACACATGCACACTGAGCAGCAGTGTTTTTGCTCACATGCGCATCATCCATCTGAAAGCGTGCGTCCCCCCGGGAGGGTGGGAGCAGCGAGAAGGGGGGGGGGAAGCTTGACCCTCTCCCTTTGTACTTTAAAAAATTGGAAACATGCAAATGTTTTTGCATAATCTATGCAAAAAATGTTTTAAATGAATAAAAATAACGTTTTTATGAGTTGATCTGAAATCTAACTATAAAAACGTCTCCAAAGAGGCTATTGGCTTAGATTCAATGAGTGAAAAGTTTGTATCACTAAATACCTTTAAAATATTAGCATATTATTACTTCCAGTTACATTTAGTAATGAGAAAAACCACATAGTGCTGTCACTGTTCTCATACAGTAGCCACTTGCCACATGTGGTTCTTAGAATGTGGCTAGTGTGACTGCATCTTTAATTCAGTCAGACTGAATGATTGAATATTTAATTTTTTTAAATTTTAATTTAAATTTAAGGAGACACAAGACTATAGGCTATCATATTGGCCAGCACAGATATCGAACATTTCCGTTTTCACATAAAGTTCTGTTGGACAGCACTGGTCTAGAATTACTTTTGTTCAAATATTTATTGCGAATTAAAGGGTGCTTAGGAAATGCCTAGAAGTAATTTGTGAACAAGATTTCAGGCAGAATGCTTTCAGTGTTACAGAAAATCCTGACAGCTCCGAGAATCCTTCTTTCCACGTTGTGCAAAGGAAGATGTCAGCCCAGTTTCCCCTTGAATTCCTGCAAAGTTGGAGCTGGCGGGTCTGGGATGATGGGCCTGAAGCCCAAGAACTGCTCTGTGACAAGTCGTCAATCTGGCTTTCCAGGGCAGTCCTGTCGTGGCTCCCGCAGGGGCCTCCGAGGCTCCCGAGAGACGGACACACCACGTGAACGATGGGATGCACCGGAGGAACACGGCACTGTCCCCGTCACGAGGGCTTCTTCCTCGCGCATCCTGAGGAAATCATTCTTAAGATTTTGAGTGTGTGTGTACAGACACGTCACGGAACTGATTATTGCCAAGAGATTTTTAGAGATTCTTTTGTCTGGTCCTTCATTTTCAGATGATAAGAGTGACCCCCAAAGCGGGGAGGCCCAGAGTCACTCACTGGTTAGTGGCGGACTTGGAATCAGGCCTTGCCACTGCTGTTCCGGATCAGTCTGATAACGGTGCTTTAGAAAGGGAAATGATTGAATTGTTGACAGGTCTCTCTTAGTCAAACACCCAAAATAGTCTGTTGTGTGAGACCGTAACCTATTTCACTGTCATCCTTGTCTGTCTCTTTGGTGGTGGTGGTGCAGGCTGATGCCTCTAAGTACACGGATGTTTAGGTATGTTTAGATTCCTATGGCCAGACACTGCTGGTTGCCTACCCAATAGTCCCACGCCTGTCTTCTTCCTGGCTCTTCCTCGCCTTCTTTGAAGGGGCCATATCCTTTATGGGAATCCTGGCCCCAGCCTCTAAGACCCTAGTCCTGGGGGTCTAGGGCACCCCAGGGCATGTGACAGTTCTGTCCCTTAAGTCACAAAAGGAAGTCAGCTGCAGGTGGAGGCTGTTTCCTGGGAAGATATTCCTTGTTCTTAAAATCAGATATGACAGCTACTTCCTTTTTTCTGCCTCTGGGTGTTGATGTGTAAAGATGTAATGCCTGGAGCTGCTGCAGCCATCTTGTGGCCGTAGGGAGCGGTTGATGGACTAGCTAAAGGTGCCAGAGTGGAAAGATGGAATGAGCCTGGTTCCTCAAAGACATCCCTAAGGGCTGGATTAACCAGCCCTGGGTCACCCTTTTCCAGACTCAGGTGCGATGATAAATTCCCTACTTTTCAAGCCCTTTTAGTTGGAGTTTTCTGTTAGGTGGCACTTAACAGCATCCATACTGATACAGCCTTGTGATCTTTACTTGTCTTTATTCTCTTCTCTGACACTGGCAACCAGAACTTGGGGAGTATTTCTCAAGCAATAGAAACAACCAGCAATACAACTGACATGGCCCATGGTTGAGTCTTTGACTTCTCTCTCCTACTTTGTTGCGGTTACAATGGAGTGGAGCAGGGAGGAGACAAGACAGCAGAGCACAAAAGAGAGCAGCCCAGAGAATTGCTAAATTTTTTTCCTGGGTTCTGAAATTTTCAATTTCCAGGTCTAGGAATTTGTTTGGGCGTCCCCCCTTCCTCCCCCAGTTCAAAGAACCAGTTCTCAATTCCTTGGGGGCTGGGTTATCCCTTGAGTGCCTCGCCCAAGTGTTCTTCCATCCCCCTGCCTTTTGGTCATGTCACTTGAGCTCGATACTGTTGCTGTGGTATCTGCAGTCTTAAAACATGGCTTGGCTCACCGATACGGTCCTTCATGACTTGAGGGTAGTCACCCGCATAAATGGGGTTGGCAAACCAGCCCAGGCAGAACTGTAGGTATCTCTCAGCAGCTTCTACGTCCTTGGGGTTGCTAATGTCCACAGGCTCCCCCCAGTCGCAGTTTAATGAAATCCCCACCAGACCTTATAAGAAGAGAAAGGAAAGAGGTGAGACAGGTGGGATGACACGGCTCCTCCGGGGGCCGTCTGTCCCCAGCGTGCGGGAGGCACGGCTCACCTTGCTGCTTCCCGCGCCACGTGCTGTTGTAAGAGTGCCAGGCTTGCGCGTGGGCCTGAAAGAAGAAAGAATTCATCTGAGGTGCCTGCCTCGCCCACTTCTCTCTTCCTTTTCACTCCAAGGTGGCCTTTCTCTCCCTCCTGACTCTAGAGATCCAGATGAAGTCTTAGGATTCTCGTGAGTCCAGCCTTGGTCAGCCAGTCCCTCAGCCCGTCCCTTCCTCTGACCTCCAGCGCACTCACTTGCTTCATATCGTAGACGAAACGCGGTCTAAATCTGGCATAAACGCATAGACCACCACCTTGTGTTATTTCTTGTTTCTAAGATCTTTGCTCAAGTTTCTTGCTTTCTTCCTGGTTGTCCTCTGTGGTAACTAGGCAGTACTTTCCCCACAGGGGCTCAGGAAGTTAGGAAAATACCAAGCCCTGGAACAGTGTTGAGAAATGGACCCCAAACGTGCCAACCTGCCTCCTCTCCATGCTGTCTCTCAGTGGCCCGCTGATGTCTTCAGAGCTCTGCCCTTTGCATATTCACAGTTTAAGAAATCTAAGCCAAATGTGGGAAGAATGAGGAAGTTCTCTCCCCAACATGAATTTGAGGGTCTGGTCTGTCACCCAGTGGCCCCTCGCCTTCCGGCTGGATCAGATGGTCCACCTTCTGCTGAGAGTCCACTGGGGCCATCCCGTCATGTCTCCTCACTGTTCCTCAGTCATCGTCACTCGTATCCTCATATGTGGCCCAAATGAGACCTACTTTCCTCCCTTCTCTCAAGCCTTTCGGGTAACCCATGGCGAGTCACCTTCAGCATCTCCTCTTGCTGTCTCCTTCGCGTTTGGGCCCTAACTGAGCCTGGCTGCCCCTAAAGACCTCCTCTGTGGCAGCTCTTTCAAGCAGAGGCCGGTTTTTCCTCACACCCCTCACACCTTAGGGTGGGGTCTGCCTTGCTCTTCATTGTTGCTTCCTATTTCTCCTTCCACCTTCAAAAACCCCAGGTCCCAGATCAGATGAACACTCCTAACCCTTCTTACTGCCATCCTTCCCCAGCCTCCAGCTGCTTCTGCTCATTCACTGAAGATTTTAGCCCCTAGTTCACTGTCATCCCCCTTTCCTCGTGTCACCATTCCACACAAGACAGTTTAGACCTGTGGGTGAAAGGTTTTCCCGTGCATGTGCTCCATCCCCTTGGCTCTTAGACTGTAAGCTCTAGAGAGCAGCCACTATATTGTCCAGCGGGGCACTGGACGACAGGACACTCCCTCATGAATCCTCGTGGAGGGGAAGTGAATGGTGCGAAGGTGCTGTGGAATATGCTGGCTTTCAGGTGGAGTGGCGGAGGACTGAGCTCAGGCTTGGAGCCCTGGGGCAGGCTGAGCTGACACTGGGGCTCATCCCTCCCCCTTGAACCCAGCCTTCGCTCCCAGAAGAGCCCCCTCACCTTAATGATGTGGTGTGCCGCCCTGTATAGGCCCGTGCCGCGGAGCTTCAGGCCTGGCGCGTGGTAGCCTGTCTCATAGCCTTTTTCCACCATTGTCTACAGGGACGGCAAGTGGGGACCACAGGACTGTGAGCAGTGGCAGGGTGCGGTCTGGTCCCGGCAGTGGGTTTTCCCGCCTGCAGAGGGCCCTGCTTACCCGAGGATCACTGAAAGTGACCCAGTGCTTCACCCGGTCCCCAAAGACCTCAAAGCACAGGTTGGCGTAATCACTGAAGTAGTCGGCCGTGCTCACATTCTGCCACCCGCCATATTTGACCTGGAGCGGCTAGAACAGAGGAGTAGAGTGAGAAGCAGATGCCCTAACGGTCCGTCTCCAGAAAAGACTTTTGGAGGCGATTGGCCATGCTTGTGGGAGAAACATGGGCGATTAGAACTACAGAGGATGTTTGGAGGAAAGGGGAGCAAAGACGCAGGGTCTTGGGCACTGACTTGAAGACGGTGGCAGTGATGAGCCATGAAACAACGTGAGTGTGGAGATGAGCTGTGTGACACTCCTTATACAAGCTAGAGGGAGGAGCAGAGAAAGTGTGAGGCTCTCGTGCTTAAAAGGACTGGACAGATTGAACACGTAGGGAAATTTGCCTAGGAGAAAGAGATCGACCATGGGAAAAGAAGCTTGAGTATAAGTTCTGAGGAAGAAAGGTACAACGTGGGGCATGGAAGCTGTGACAAGGATTTTAGGGGGGTGTGCAGATGTCAGAAACCTCCCGAAGCCTCTCTTATGAGAGTGAGTCTGCTTTCTTTGGCGGAGGGCTTTCCAAGATTCATCATTCCATTGGGATGACCTACCAAGCTCTCCCTGGGGGGTTCGAGGGCGTGCTAAAGGGCCAGCTTGGTGAAAGTGGTTGTCCAAGGAAGAAGCTGGAAAGCGGTTTCTTGCTTGTCTCCCTGAAGCCTGCTCTACGGCCCCAGCCACAGTTTAGAGGCCTCTGGTGGCTCTCGTTCCCACAGAACAAACCCCGTCACCTTGGCTCGGCAGCTGAGGCCCTCCAAGCTACTCCCGCAACCTCTGTCCTCTCCTGCCGGCTCCCCAAGCTCTAACCAAATCGCTTGCCCAGCCCCTCGCTGCCTCCTCGCTTCCCTCGAGCCAGAACACCCCATCCTCGCACCTCAGGCCCCAGCCTTCAAGGCGCTGATCGGACTCCCTCCTCTCCCCGACACCGCCCTGAAGCCGTGTCTTCATCCTCTGACCTCCTGCCACCCTGTGTCATAAAGAGTTACGTACACGGCTCCTCTCCTGGCCAGGCTCTGATCTCCGTGGGGCCTTGTGGAGTGAATGAAAAAGTTGCTTAAACAGTGGTGTCTAATAGTGATGTTCTTAGACATGTCGAGACTTTACGGAAATTATGTGGGGGCGTGGTGCTCATTTATGAGAATATATGGTGCAGGCTCAAACTGAGAAAAAAATGGCTAAATCAACTTTTAATTATGCCGTGTCATCAAATCTGACTCAAAAGATGTTTCTTTCTTCATAGTTTGATTTGATTGTTTTTAGGCCAAATGTCTGGAAAACATCAAAATCCACATTTATCACTTGTTACAAACATCATTTAAACCAGCATGGCCTCCCTGCCACTGGGGAGTCAGAGAGATTTCTTCACTCCTCCCCTGTTCCAGTCCAGACTCCAGCTTTGCCCCCGACCTTGGCAACCCCAGGTCCCCACATCAGGCTGTCTCCTGCTGAGCTGAGCTCCCGGGGCCTCCCAGCCCACACCAGCCCTCACCTGCGGGAGGTCCCAGTGGTGCAAGGTCACAACTGGGGTGATGTTGCTCCTCAGAAGGGCATCGATGAACTCGCTGTAGAATTTGATTCCCTTCTCGTTCACCTGGTCAGCTGAAGGTGAAATAAAAGGGGACTTGACAAGAAAGGAACTTGGCCTTGACCTTCTGAAGTGCCGTGTTCCTGGGCCCTGCAGCTTTTCTAAGGCCTGAAGGCCCCTCAGCCCACCAGCGCTCAGTCTCAGAGGGGTGGTATACTACCCCTGGGGGCGAGCTACCTGCAGAACCCATGAGGGCTGCTGCCAGAAGACGCCACGTTCATGGTCTCCCTCCCCAGGACTCCGTGGTGTCCCCGCAAAGCCAACATGGCCAAAAGGAGCCCCGCGTGTGCTCCGGAGGGGCTGCCCTCGCTCACCTCGGACGCCCGTGGGTAGGAGTCGGGGCCAAGACAGTGAGAATCGGTAGTGGCTCACGTGCAGCTCCCTCAGCAGAGCAATGTCCTCCTGTGCAGATGGGGGGTGGGGGGGAGGCAGGGCAGGGTCACCTGGGGCCCCGGGGTGGGCAGGAAGGGTCATGCTGGGGGCCCCATGCCAACGCTCACCCCATCCATACTCCCACTGGGTGAGGAAGCAGCTGTTTCCTCATCCACACGACAGATACGATATCCAACAGGCGCGACACCACCTGCCCCGCCTTCTCCTGGGGATGTGCAAAGAGTCAAATACCAGCAGGATATGGGGACTCTGAGAAGTCATCAGCAGCTTCCTACCAAACTTGGGTGATGAATCCTTCAAGTCAATCCAGAGAGGAAAGTGGGTGCCGAACAGAAGGACTGAGGGTAAGCAGGTCCCACTCCCTCCAGAGGGGCTGATTCACATGCGGGGACCAGGGGTTCAGGCCCCGGTGGCCTGTGGGCCCTGGAGCCATGGCATCAGCCTTTCAGCTACCCATCGCTTAGGCTAAGGCACTGGCTCAGGCAGGGCCCTGTTTTCCTTTCCTCCGAATCCACCTTACCACATCCTGCACGCACTGCCAGTCCCCGGTCCCCACGGGCTCTGTCCCCTTTGGCTGCATTAGGGTAGAGGGTGTTTAGCAGAGCACTGGGTTGACATTGTCACCTGGGCTCCCTCAATATATCACTACCCACCTCTCCGCTAGGTGTGTGTTCACACACACGCACACACACATACCCATCACTCACCTGGACCTTGTAGTAGCCATTACAGGCCACATCTGCTGTCTCATCCCCAAGCACCTTTCCCTTCCGGCGGTGTGTGAAGACATCCCAGATGCTGGGCCCTTTCCCGTCCTGGTCCCAGGCGCCCTCTGTCTGGAAGGCAGAACTGCCCACGCCCCAGGAGAAGCCTGCAAATAGAGACCCCGAGCTGGGCTCTGGGGCCCCTCCCGCTGCCCACCTGGGAGTGGGAGCCTGCGGGGCAGGACAGGGGGAAGGAGGAGAGACCTAATATGCTAAAAACTTTTTTTTGCACAATTTTAGCTCTGATTAACATTTACTATCTGTATAGTAACTTTAAAAAATCTATTAGGAACTTCTTTTATTTTAGAACAATTATATGGAGTTATTTTTCCCATTCTACCTGTCAGAAAGCTAAAATACCAAACTCCTTGGCAAGCCAGCCAAGGTGAGCAAGCTGACAGACAGATGGACAGACCAACAAAGGGATGGACATACCGAGTGGGAAGGTTCCATAGTAGAAGGAGGCCTCTTCTGGGGATCCCCTCCTGGTGGCCCCCAGCCTGGACACCAGCAGTAGCACCCACCAAATGGTGACAACCCGCACTGGCTTCATGGCACCCGGCCCTCCCCCATTCCTGAAAAAGCACACCTGACAGGTGTCGGCCCAGACAGCCGGGGCTGGGGGGCCAGATCCCGGCCCGGCCAAAGGCCAGGAGGGAGGAGGACGGGATGAGGTGGGGGCACTTTCTAGAAAGGTGTTGGCTCTGCTGGGACACACCCACAGAGGCTGAGGCTGGGCAGCAGAGATGATTCCCGAGTTAAACATAGAGGAGGAGATGAAGGCTGGCCTTGCGGAGCTCCGTCCCAGTCTGATGGGGGAGACCCAGCCCACACCCCTGTGAGAGGCCTGATCTAATAGGGAAACCACTCTGCCGCAGGGACGCTCCGGTCTGATGGAGGAGGTGAGACCAACCACAGACCCCTGCACCCCCACCTGCACGCTGTGGCGTGTGCAGAGAGACAGACTCTCCCCAGGCCCGGGGGCTGGGAGCAGGGCCACCATCCCAGGGCCTCCTGTCCTGAGGTCAGGACAGATTCTCTCCCACTGGCATCCCTTCTCTGATGCCAGCCCAGCCAGCTTACCTAGGATTGTCCTTGAGCAGCAGCTGGTAGCCAGACCACTCTCAGATGGATCCCAGGGCCTGCGCAGCCATCTGAGAGCAGAGCCCACAGCGCAGCATCCGAAGGCTCTGGTTGGGGGCGTGGTCAGTGGCCTAACCCCCTTCAATAGCCCCATTCAGCAGGGCAGGAATGCTGAGCTGGCCAGCAGGGCCTGAGTCAGCAGCAGGCAGCGTGGCCCCAGGCCCTGGGGCATCCAGTCAGCCCCCTCCCAGGGTAGAGGGCCAGCACCCCATCCCTGTGGCCCCTTCTGGGCCAGAGCGCCATCTTCAGCGCACCTTAGCCTGTGAAGCTCCAGGTAGGGGTGGCGGGGCGGGGGTCAGAGTGTGTGGGCATCTGTCTCTGTGTCTACCTCTCCCTGCTGCCATAGAAAATTCACTCTAGAAGGTAAAGTTGGTTTTTCTGCCTCACCCTCCTCTTTGGACCCCTCAGTCACTCACTTATTCATGAATCCAGGCCTGCCTGCTGGAACACAGCATCCCTGGAGGCCCGGCCCCCGTGCTCCCCACCCTGGCTGCCTAGGTGCCCACTGCAGCTTCCTTCACTGCAGGGCCCCCAGCTCTCCTGCTCCATCCCCTCTTGCATTTCCCTTCACCTCACTCCCCGCCAGCCTCCCTGCTTTTGCTGGCCTCACTGTGGTGCTCTCAACTGGGCAGGTCTCACCCCTCTGTGGTTGGTTCATTTCTTCCTGCCACCGTGAAATGGGACCTGGCCTGTGCCCCCCAGGGGCTCAGGGTCTGAAGGGGCAGGCAGTGGGGGGTGGGGGGAAGCAAGGTGGTTCTAAACACCACGCAGGGGAATGCAGGCTCCAATGGAAGAATGATGGACACTGCGGAGGCTCGGGACGGTGGGGCTGGCTTCACAGGGAAGGGGGCATTGGACATGACACTTGAAAGATGTGGAGCCATTTTCTAGATGGCATGGAGCAGGGAAGGCATGGGAACTGATGGAGGGAACTGCACGTGCAAAGGCCCTGAGGTGTGTTTGAGGTCCTGGGAGCTTGGCATCTTCTCTCCTCTTGCATCTATCCTGCAGTGCCCAGGCTGGGCTGCATCCTCAGAGTGAGCAGGCCACCGGACAGCCTCCCTTGCGGCTGTCTTTCCTGTGGCAGCACTGCCGTAAGTGTCTGAGGCCAGTGATGTGCTGTTGGCATCAGTGCTGGTGCCTGCCTCACCAGGCTTGTGGACTCCGGGGACTCTGCTCTCCAGGCTGAGGTAGGAGGGAAACATAAAACTTTAAGAGCTGATGTCATCTCTGAAAAATGCCCTCTTCCACAGAGCCAGAGGCCCGGTGTTTGTGTTGGCGGGGCTGGTCAGCCTGGCTTGGTCTGGGCTGCCTGGGGTCTGTCTGTAGACCCGGGCTCCACGTCTAATGACGGTTCTCCTTCCACAGGCTCCAGCCTGGCTTTGGCGGGAAGGACTTGGGCCTCCCAGCTGGGTGACCCACCTCCCACCACCTCTCCTTCCCACCCCACGAGCTCCAGGCCCTGCCTGAGGCCTAGAGCAGCCAGAGCAGGACCCTCCCCTTAGGTGGGGGTCTGAAGTCCCTGGGGGCCAGGCCTAGCTGAAGAGCAGATGTCGGGGCACGGGTGGCTTTGGGCCCCTGTAGCTTCCTCCTTTTCCCACCCCGCAAAGGGCTGCAGAGGTGGGGGCCCGCCTACCAACAGCCCCTCAGGGTCTTCGAGGAAGGTACTTGGTAGGAGCCAAAGGCCTGGTCTTCAGTGCTGGGGGCACTGATGGGTCCCAGGTCCCTGTGTGTGGTGGGTGCAGCTACAGAAGAGGCGCAGCTCAGCCATTCTGTACCTCAGGGTCCTTCGGAGGGGATCAAGGGGTGGGAAGGACACTGGGGATTCAGGAAAACAACTTCCTGCCTCCATATGGCCAGGAACCGGCAGTGGGATCCTGTGACAGGCACTTCCTCTCTCTGGGACTGAGGCTCCTCATCTATAAAACACCAGCTGCTCTTTCAAGGGTCCTCTCAGCTGACACGGCAGGGCCCAGCAGTTCTCTTCCCTGGCCCTAGGAGCTGGTCTTTCTCTCTCCAGGGTGGTCTCTAGCGGGCCCCCTCCCCGCCCCAGCCCTGCAGCCCTGCAGCCCTGCAGCCCTGCAGCCCAATTCAGCCCTGCCCAGCCCTGAGCTAAGGGGACAAGTCCCAGGAGACAAGGTTCAGTCCTGGTGTGCTGTGTGACATTGGGCCAGCCATTGTCCTTCTCTGGGCCTTCATTTCCTCCTCTGTAGAAACTAAAGAGGCTGGCTACCAGCTGTCTGAAGTCTTCCTTAGTTCTGGGATTCTGTTAGAGAGGCCACAGGTTTTCAGGTTGTGTGGGTTTGGGTTTGTGGTAGAGAGGGAGGCGGGTCGGAGCAGCTGAAGAGGCTGGGATGGAGGTGAGGGATGCGCAGGGAGGGTTAGGAGCGAAGGCTCTGGAGTCAAATGTAACTTTGAATCCCAGCTCAGCATCAGCAGCGGAGTGTTACACGCACTTAACTGGACTTCTCAGAGGCACTTTTTATATACAAATGAGGAGAACGATAGTACCTGCTTCACAGGGTCGTTCAAACCTTAAATGACGGGGTGGATGTAAACGCTCCGGCTTCACGTGCTGCCCAGCAGAGAGAAAAGCCCCAATAAATGATCCCCCTCGTCAACGCCATCCTATTGTCAGGGCTGAAGTCCAGTGCTGCCGCTTCTCAGGGTGCTCTGGGCGCAGCACAGCGCCTCAGAGGGGAGATGCTCCCTGACGGCTGGCAAGGGGTCTCCATGATCTGAGAGCGCTGTCTGGAAAACGCCCAAATCCCGCCTTCCTGTGGGATCCGCAGGAGCCAGGCCTCCATCCGCGCTGAGGCCGGGAACCCCCGGCACCACCGTAGGCAAGCGGCCCAGGGCTTCAGCGGGTCTCCAGGGCTCCTGCCAGCTCTGGCTCTGTGGACAACACCCAGGGCCTTTTCCTTCTGGGTGTTGATGGTGACTTCCAAGGTCCACTTCATTTCTCCGAGCCTCCAACCTTTTATTATAAAAATGTTCCAACACACGGAAAAGTTGAAGGACCTGCACCGTCCCCACCGCATGCGCAGCGCTGAGACTGCTGTCCTTTCCTCTCCTTGCTTGATCACAGCTCAGTCCCTCTAGTCCTCTTTCCTCCCAGCAATTCATCTTCCTTTTTTGAGGCATTTCAATGTAAGCTGCCAATGTCAGTTTGCTTCCCCCTAAACACTTCAGCAGGCATATCAGGAACTATATTTGTTGATGGTTCTTTTCTTTTTGAGGCCAAGATTGCTGACAGTGAAAGGCACGACCTTAAGTGTACTCTTCTGTGCGTTTTGACAAATGCAATCATTTGCGTAACCAAAGCACCATTAAGACGTGGAACACGAATTTGTTTCTTTTGAACTCTGAGTCACACTGCATCTTTCTCAGGACTTTTGGGGGAAACTCCCGCCGGTCGCCAGGGCAAGAATCCATGTCATCTTGCTTCCCTCTTAGCTCTGGCCGCTTGGAAATTCTGAGACGCTTGTGGCCGGCCTCCAGCCCGCGCACAGGACGTGAGTTATGCATTTCTGTCGTCTTACGCTCCCTTCTCCCCAGTTACCTTGTCTGTTATTTTTAAATCCTGCTGAAGTATATACAACTCTACAAGCGGGTTCTCAAATCCTTTTTTTGGAACAAGACTGAAGGAGTACTGCATAAATAATCATATTGGAATTTTCAGGATATTTCAATGGTTTGTGGTGTCCAAATATGTGAAATTGAGGCTGTTCCAGTAAATCTGGAATGAATTGACACTCTATGCACAGAGTACGGACCTGTGTGTACAGTATGCATATGTACGCACACACACGCACACATGAATTCTTTTCTTGGTCCAGACAGTGGCACTGGCAGTAAAACTATCAATTCCAAACCGAAAGAGCCCACTCAGCACTGGCCTGGCTGCCCAGGATCCTGCAGGGCAGAAGTTGGGGAACAGATGGTGGTCTGAATGGTGACCTTGGATGGCTGGAGGCCGGCGCCTGTGAACAAGTGATGATGCTGCTGGCAAGTCTGGAACCAGGCTGCGAAGCGGCCTGTGCTTCCCCATCAGAGATCTTTGGTCCAAGCTCTTCTGCTGGTGATTTCCTGGGTCCTGACTTGCATTTTCTCCCCTCATCCCCGCTCGTGGGGAGCCCTGAGCCAGCTGCCAAGGACCCCGGCCAAGCCTTCGGGTTCCAGTTCCTGAAGGGTGGAGAGGGTGAGTGAGGATGTGGGGCAGGGAGAGGGGAAGCGTCTCAGGGAAAAGCTCTCTCAGCTTTTCTCTCCTCGGGACACTCTCTGGATCTGTCTTCCAGCGCCTCTATCGCAGACCTTGCTTCACTTTTATCCAGGAGGCTGTCTGATTAGAGTCTGTCTCTCCGCTAGACTCTAGCCTTATGTTTTGTTCACTGTTGACTACTATTCGTGTAAGGAACGAATGAATGAAGGTTTTGTTGTTGTCTCTTGTTTTTTTTTGCCCTCATCCCTGCACAGATGGTGTGAGAATAAGCTCGGGGGATCATTCCTGGGCAGGGAGCGGGCCTGGGATGGGGGCTGGGGTCCTGGTCTGACAGGTTCAGAGCCCCACAGAGCACCTCAGCTGGGAGGAGGCGCCATCTGGGGAGAGAGGAGCCTGGGTCCTTCCACAGAGAGGTGACTCCCTCCCAGCGAGCAAGTACCCATGAGGCCCGAGGATGATCTCAGTGTTCTGAAACAATAGCCAGGGATGCAAAATTTTAAAGGCAGTGGAGGATTCTAAGACTCGTATGCAATGTTTATTATATATAATACATGTATATATAAATTTTAACTTTAAAAAATTACACGGAAAATACATGAATAAATACATTCACAACACAAAGAAACGGCAACGATCACTGAAGTATATGGAGTAAAAAAAGAGTAAGGCCCCCTCTCCTTGTCCCCTTCCCGGACCTTCCCTCCCCCAGATGGCCACTTCTGACAACTGACCTTGTCCCTCCCTGCATTTCCTCTGTGTTTTCATATGAATCAGGTACATATACGTATAGGTAGTTTTGTTTGATTTTCTACGTTAGTGGCGATAGATAGGTAATATTGTTTCACAACTTGCTTTTTTTCATTTGATAATACATGTTGGAGATCTTTCTGGATCAGTGCACCCAGCGCTGCCTCATTCATTTTAATGCCTTCACAGCATTCCATTGTATGATGTTCCATATTGATCTACTGGTCCCCTGCAGAGGGACATTTTTTTCTTTACAATGCATTGCTCTCACAAAGAATGCTACAATGAATGTGCCTGGACACGTAATTTCATACCTGTGTGTGTATTTATTCCTCAAAGTGGAATTGCTGAGTCACTTGTGATTTTGATGGATGTTGCCAAATGAGCCTTCATTAGAGGTCACCTCATTCTTTTCAACTGAAGCGTATTCAACATCAACATTTAACCAATGTAACTAGTAAGAGATGAGAGTGGACCTGTGGCTCCGTATGTGGGAGCCACCAAGGCCTGCTGCCCGTGGTTGGGGAGGGGCTGGACTCCTGCTGGGAGCTCAGTGGCTAGACGGAGGTATATTTGCTCTAGTTAATTCCTGAGGAAACCATCACTGGTCCAGAGCTTTACCGTTTACAGAGGGTATTTCTGTGCATAATCAACTCACTCAACCCTGTTGAACGAGGAAGGGCAATATGACTTAACTTCACCGCATTCTGCAGATGAGGAAACTGAGACCTGAAAGAGTCACACTCAGGTGACAGGCACTTCAGGGTCTGAAACTCCAACTTTCAGGTGTTTTTCCACCCTGTCCACTGCTTTCTCTGCCTCTCTGGGTCACTTCCTCTCTCTCTCTCCACTCCTTGCCGCTCCCTCTACGCCAACTCTTCCCCAAACAATGCTGCCCTCAGGGTCACCCCCAAACCCAACGCCTCAGGCTCCAATAGACCCAGGAATACGCACCGAGATCAGAGGTGGTTAGCACTGCCTGGAATAGATCCCTGAGGCTGTCCCAGTATGAGAATTTATAGCTGCTTCTTGCTCAGACAGCCTCAAGGACAGATGGTGGGGCCTGGACTTGTTCCTACCCAGCCCCTTGGCCCCCAGGGCCAGAAAATTAGTTACTTAACATTTGGAGAATAAATAATTGGGGGGAGGGGGAATGCATAAATGAATACAAGTGTGGAAAAGCAAAAGACCTAATTTAAAAAGGTGCTTTATCATGCAGACCGCATTTGGTGTTTAGGTGTGCGTATGTGTTTGTAACAAATTTCTTCCCATCTTTTTCCCTGTTGTGTTCTTACTCAGATGTCATCCTCCTGTGTATGCAGTTTTGCATCCTGTTGTCTTGGTTTCACTTAAGATCGTCAACATTTCACATGTGCTGTATGGTAGGCAGCTTCTAAGATGGCTGCCACTGGTCCAGATGGGCTTCAGGACTCACTAGGCCCGAAATATGGCACCTGGGCATATCAAACACTTGAAGCTGAAGGGAGTTGAGAAAAAGGGAGGTCTCTCTGACCTCCCCCCTGCCCTTCTCCCCTGAAACAGGTCACAAACGGTCACATTTGTGGCATCTTCCTTGTACTGGAAGAAAGGACCACCCTTATCTCGGAGGAAAAGGGATGCCAAGAAGGATCTGAACAAGCAGGGCTTGCTAGGTCTCCCCCTGGTGGAGCACTCACCTCGTCTTCCTGCCCTCTGGTGTTCCCACACGGCAAACCCAGCATCGAAATCCTCAGGCCTGTTTCTTCGGGTCTTCATTTCTCTATGAAGGCTCCTGTGTCGTGTAATAAATTATTAATAAATGTGCATAGTTTTCTTCTGTTAGTCTGTCTTTGTTCAGTTTAGTTTTCAGACTCCGCTGGAGACCCTCAGAGGGTGGAGGAAAACTTCCCTCCCCTACAGTCTCCATCTCCTGGCATTCGCACGCTTGTGTAATCCCCTCCCCTTGAACCTGGGCTAGACCTGCTGACGAACAGAATACAGCAGAAATGAGGGGAGGTCACTTCCGAGATCAGGTCTCAGAAGGACCGTGTGCCTTCTGGTTGCTCCCTTGCTCTGAGGGAAGCCCGCTGCCCTATGGAGGGCCCGCAGGTGGAGGGACTGATGTCCCTGCGAGAGCCAACAAGGACCTGAGACCGCCCACAGCCACGTGAGTGTGCCCGAAGAGGACCCTCTTCCCGTTAAGCTCGGAGCTGACTGCAGCCCCAGCTGACACCAAGATGGCAGCCTCTGGAGAGACCCTGAGCCAAGCCACACCCTGACGCCAGACCCACAGAAACTGTGAAAGAAAAATGCTTGTTATTTAAGTCATTAAGTTTGAGGGTAGTTTGTTACTCAGATGTAGGTAGCAAATACACATTCTACAGGCTACATTTTCCTATTGTTGGCTACCTGCGCTGTGTTTAAATTCTCCTTAATACAAAATTCATTTTAGTGGACATCTTCTTGTCCAACCAGCCTTTTCTGAACTTAGGATCATTTCCTGAGGGTGACCACAACTGGGAGATGATTGAGGCCAAGATTCAAACACATATGACTTTTCATAAACATCCCCAAATTGCTGTCCTCCAAGGGAGTGACCAGGTCCCCATTTCCACACACCCTTGGCCAGCGCCTTTCCTACCTCCCAGATCATCAGTGTCTCTGATAACAATCAGGTAACTGTAGTACTTTCTCTGCCTACCTCTCAGGGTTATTGTCCAACTTGAAATCAAAATCATGTAAATGATAATTCCCCTGGAGGCTGCACTGGGCTCTGTGAGGCTGGGAGAGGTTATGGTTTTTCCTAGAATCCCGGGATTTCTCAGAACTCAGTGTGTCCCAGCCCCGCCCCATTTCATAGAAGAGGAAGCAGGGGCTCAGCGATGACCAGGGGCTTACTCAGGGTCACACGGAAATTCATGGCAGGGCAGGGACAAGATAACTCGGGTCCTTTGCCTCCCAGTGTAGCTCTCCCCTCTCTGACCCACACGGCCTCCCAGCTTGCCTGCTCTGCCAGAACCAAATATCCAGGCACAACCTCAGGTCTCTCCTTCAATCCCCGAGGATTCAGAAAATCCCTACCTTTCAAGAAACGCTGGCCCCAAGTCCTCCCTGCTTTGCGGACCGGGCCACCCAACAAACCACCCTCATTTCCACCCAGCGAGGCCAGGAGACCACCCCATGTGGCTCTGCCCAGCTCACTCCTCCCGCATCTCAGGGCAGGCTGGCCCCACAGCTCCAGGCTCCTCATCTCTCCAGGCCCCCTCTCTTCAGCCATGAACCCCAGCTCAGGGCTGTTTCCATCCTTCTGTCACTGTGGCCAAGAAAACAGGAAGCGTCTGAGTCACTCATTGTCCCCTGGGCTTTGGCTGTCTGGGCCCAAGTTCTGGAGTCAGGGGAGGACAAGGAGGGAAGAGGTGGCTTCACAGAAGCTGAGACTGTCTTGTGGAGCCCCTTCTTCCAACACTCTTCCAGCTTGTGGGACCCCAAATAGCCAGGGGTCCAGGAACCTCCCCCAATTCCTCTTGGGAAAAAAAGAGCACTGCCTCAAGATTTGGAATTCTAGAGTTGACTCTGCTCCCCACTGGCTGTGGGCCTTGGGATTGTCCAATGGTTCTCCAGTTTGGTTATATATTAGAATCACCTGGAAAGCTTTAAAAAAATTCAGACACCTGGGCTCCATCCCCAGCGATTCAGACTTAATTGTTAAAAGCTCCCCAGGTGATTCCAAAGTGCATCCAGGCTGGAGAACCACTGGGCTCGTCTTCCCCTCCCTAAGCCCCAGGCTCTCGCCTGTCAAATGGGGCTAATGGTGCCTACTTTCCACAGCTGCTAAAAACATCGCGATCCTAGGCATGTCCATGCACATTGAAAATGTAAACACTAGTGTAATACGTCTTCATATGACCCACCTTAGGAGGGTCTGAGCAGAAGTGGGCTGACCTGAGGGTCCCTTGGTCTTTAGAATCCGGGTCAAGGTGACAGTGGCAGGACATTGACAAGTGTGTTGATGGGCATGAGCAAGCCTGTCTACTGCCCTGATGTGTTCATCTTCCCAAGTGCCCAGCACTGAGCAGAGGAAATGCAAGGTGAGAACAGCAGGCATCACCCCTGGCCCAGCCCCCACAGAACTCTTGGTCCAGTGGGGAGAAAGGCAGGAGCACAAAAGTTCAAATACAAGGCAGAGGGGTCAAAGGTTTCCAAGGGAGGAAGATACAAGGGGAGAAAGAGATGTGTTCTGGCTGGAGGGAGTAGGGAAAGCTTCCTGTAGGGAGTGGCATCCATCCCAGGGGGCTCCAGTAGGGTCTGAGAACCCTAGGACAAAGGCATAAAGGTAGGAAGGAAAGTGCAATCAAGACATCCCAGGTCACCTGGGGGTATGAGCTGTGAATGGAGGGGAAGGGACAGGCAGGGGGCCAATGGGCAGAGACCAGCATTCTCTTCCAACCCTTTCCCCTTGTGAACATGCGAGTACATACCATATGAATCCGTTTATGAGAAACAACACACACATTTGTTTTACAGTGTGATCACTTCATTCCCTACCTCCTGGATCCGTGTTTGATATCTATCATTGGGGCTGGCCCTTGGTTGTGTTGTCTTGTCACCTTGTGTGCCTGGCTATCTTTGATCGTAGGATGGACAGTTGTTTGAAACATTACCTTTAGGAATTGCCTGAGGCCTAAAATGATGTCATCTTCCTTCAGTTAGCACTTCAGCTTCTGCAACGGGTCTGGGGCCACTAGCCATCCAGGATCACGTTAGTCTAATCTCAGGGCTTCAGACTCTGTGGCTTCCCCAGATAACTCGAGGCCGGAGTACAGAACTTGTGAGGGCCAGTTTGCTTCCGGTCACCCTTGCTCTCAGAGCCCGGCCCTTTGGATTTCCCAGTCCCGAGTGGGGGTGGTTTCTGCACTAAGTTCTGGTCCTGGAGCCCCTCGAGCCTCCCAGAGGCTCTGCTCCACTTCTCAGTTGCCTCTGACTGACGGGCCCCCTCCTCCACCACCAAAGTGCTTCCCACGCCAGGCCCGCTGCCGGGCCATTTCTTTGTATCTTGTTAGCTCTTCGATGCTTTTAAGATTATTCAAAATCCTGTGGCCAGTGTTTTTAAGCTGCCTTCAGGGGCAAGGTCAGTCTGAGTAACCTGTCTGCCTTTACTGAACGTAGAGTCCTCTCTAATTAGATTCTAACATTACAGGGCACCTACTTCATTTGTAGATCCTATAATCATACCTCTTTTTCTTTTAAATTGAAAAGATTGATACCTAACAAAATATAAATACTTATTTGCTTTTTCTGATAATATGAAAAACAAAGTTCAAAACAACAATACCAACTTGAACAATAAAAGTGCAGCGAGAGGCCTCCACCCCGCGGCGGTCCTGGTGTGGGTTGTCCTGGTGTGTGCAGGGCCTGGGGACCTCGCTGTGGTCTTGCCAGGCTGCCAGGGCTGCCCCGGGGCAACACCTGTCCCCTCTCTGCCTATGCCACCAGGGGCAATGAAACCAGGGCTCCCTTCTAGACTCAAGTTCAGCTGGAGAGTCTTATTCTGTTTACGTACAGCGAATTTTAACAACCTCCTTGGAGAGGTCTTTGCATGATGTTTGGTCCAGTTTATAAACTTAGTTAATCAAGTGTCTTAAAATATTTTAAACTTTACTTAAAAATGTCTTCCTATTTCAGTACTCCAATTTCTGACTTAATCAGCAAAACCTTCCTTCCTGAGTACTAATACCCTTTATAACACCAATAAGCTAAACTTATAAAAAATAAAAATCTAAATTAAATAATAACAAAAATTAAAATATGGTGAATTTAAAGTTCTATCACATGTTCTAATATGGTGCATAAACTCGGTAAGATTTCAACTTAAAACCCTCAGTTTAAATTATTCAATTATGTACTTTCAATTATTAGTTACAAGGCTGTTGCTTTAAAAGACCAAACTGTCCTATACATTACAAGCCTTATAGTACCAAACGCACAGAGGTTACCTCTTAACACAGAAATAGCAATGTCATGGTCAAGTCGCTCACATCCTTGGAGGCATATTTTACACACCCTTCCCAGTTTTCCTCAGGCTGATAACCTGATTGGATTTTTCATTTTGACCCTAAATGAAGTGTGATAAGCAGAATAATATCCCACCCCTGGAAGATATCCGCATCCTTCTCCCCAGAACCTGCAAATGTGTACCTTACTCGGCAAAAGGGACTTTGCAGATGTGGTTGAGGTGAGGATCCTGAGACAGGGAGAGGAGCCTGGGTTGTCCAGCTGGCCCAATGGAATCACAAGGGTCCTTATCAGGGAAAGGGAGGCGGGCCAGTCGGAGAGAGAGGTGATAACAGAAGCGGAGGCCAGAGCGATGTGACTGCCGGCTGAAAGGGAGCCAGGAGCCAAGAAATGAGAGCAGCTGGAAAAGGCAAGGAAGCTGACCCTCCCTTCCAGCCTCCAGCAGGAATGCAGCCCTGCCGACACCTGGTTTCAGCCCAGCGAGACCCACTTGGGACTTCTGACTTCCAGAACCGAAAGATAATAAATTTGTGTTGTTTTAAGCCACTACGTTTGTGGTAATTTGCTATAGCAGCAGTAGAAAACTAGTACACTAAATACGATTTTTCACTTAACCCGAGACTTTGAATTCCAAGTGATCCCAGGGTATGTAAATATCCGTCCTATTGAATTTTAAGGACTTTCAAATGACCACAACAACAAAATTACTGAATAAAGGGAAGCTTAAGTTTGTTTACGCAATTGTGTTTGCCCAGCACACTCTGCTGAAGCCGTGGAGTTACATGCCTCATCATGTCTCCTTCCCTGTGGCTGTGGAAGCACGAGCATGT